GCACCGCAGGCCCAAGGGTGTAGGACCTAGCAAGCTACTAACCTTTGCACAGCCCTCACCTCGCGGTGAGTTCTTCGCAGGGCCCACCTGCCAAGTCGGTCACCTTGTGAAGCCGGGCCCAAAGGTTCGGCCGGAGCCACACATTGAGAACATGGAAAATAAGTCGAGACCCGTCTTGGGCCCAATTTTCCTGTGTAAAAGCGGGGCAAACCCTGGATTCTTCAAATAGGCTACCTCGGTTAGACCTTTCGGATGCACCTCCAAATCAACCCACCTGGCAAGGAATGCCTCCCCACGCTTAGAACTCAGAAACCAGTTGTCCTGGGCTTCTAGCCGTTACCATTCTGTTCAGGGGTCGGTTTGTTCAACAAATGGGCCAATCTCCTGGGAAAATGTGGCCATGGGGCATAACCTATGGCTCCATTTTGGGGTTCACCAGGAGGGTTTTGACATGTTTTGACCCACAGCAATGTGATTTCTGAAGAGTGTCCTGAGAGTGTCAGAGCGGCCCTTTGAGGAGTTCCTGAGAACGACGCCCCCCTCACAGTACGACCACGCAACGGCCATTGAGGTGTGGCATCGCAGGAGGATTCAAGAACCGTCCCACCCTAAACCGGGATCTTCTTCTGAATGACAATTCATGTTAAGGTTTGCTACTATAGACCAGAATCAATCGTGTTTTTGGTTGGGAGCAAGAGCTGATGTAGTAAAGTCCTGAACATATGCTATTCTGCGAGCCAAGCAATTTGAGAACTGTTTTCTACAAGAATGCCCCAGGACCCTTTCGGCACAGATGCGTATGTGCGAAGGCCCCTTTTTGTCCGCAAAAGGAAATCAAGCTTTCAAATAGGTTTTGCGAACCTGTTTGTTGGTCGGAGGATGCAAATGCGCAATCGAATCCCCAAGGACTAGTTGCACACTTCCCTTTTTCATTTTACCCCTGTTTCGGGAGGCAGATATGAAAAGCAGCGTACCGTTTGTCGATGAGAGGTAAACCAGTTTCTTGTGCAGCCAAACCACCAGTGGGCTTCCCGAATCCGAGCTTTCTGATTCTTCAGAGGTTGCACTCCAAATGACCGTTGCAGGTTCCGGGGACAAAATGCAACAACTGAGAGATGTCTTCTGATCAGCAGTTTTTGCAGCCTCACCCTGTGTCCTCACATGTTCATGGCTGTGCTGCTGGCTTTTTGGTTTCCTAGTTTGGTGAATGTGTCCAAGCTTTTGGACGCTTCATTGGTCGCAAATGTCAACGCGGACCCTCTGCCCCGACACAACCCATGAGCCAAAACCGAACCTATCTCAGATTGGAGCACATAAAGCCCTGGAGAACAACCACCGTTTGCGCCAAAGAAGCACAAGCACTCTCAGAAAACACTCTCAGACGACAAGCATTCAAACATAAGCCTTCTCAGAAAATTATTCAAAACAAAAGCCCTCTCAAGAAAGGCCTTCCAAAAGAAACCCTCTCAGGAAAAGAGTTCAATAAGAAACCCTCTCAGCAAAACCAATCAGAAACCCTCTCAGGAAACTCTTTCAAGCAGAAAAACTCTCAGAACGAATGCTCAAACAAAACCCACTCAGCAAAACTGCAAAAGCAAGCCCTCTCAGGAAAGTCCCCTGAAACTAAAGACCTCTCAGGCAAACCCCTCCCTCTCAGGAAAACCCTTCCCACTCAGGAAAATCCTTCGAAAAGAAGCCCTTTCAGAACACCCCTTGAAACTAAGAACCTCTCAAAACAGGTGTGAATTCAGTTGTGCGTGCTTGGGTGTTTGTTTGTTTTGCTTTCTCGCTCGTTCCCTCGCTCGCTGGCTGGCTCGCTGGCTGGCTGGCTGGCTCGCTCGCTCGCTTGCTTGCTTGGTTTCTTGGTTTCTTGAACGTTTGTGTTTGTGATAGTAACGCTGTGCGCGTGACTACGTGTTACGGTGTTGAGTGTGCTTCGAGAATGCACACATCGTTGGGTTCGTTATTTGATCTAGGGGAGTGTTGACATGGCACATGGCGAAGCCCATTGGAGTAGCTACAGTAGCACGTACTAAGGCTTCAACCCCAGATTCGATGATGGTCACATCACTGTGCCTCACACGTGCCGGAAGTTTGTACGGGGTGGAATCGCATGTGGGATAACAGCTGACTGGCCGTGCTGCCCGTTGTTGATGCGCTTGACTTTGTTGTAAATCATTCTTATTTGATAGTTTGCAAGCTAGGCGCGTCGCTTTTTGGGGACCCCCAAACTGGAGGGGTTCTTCTCGGTTCTCCGTGCAAAAACACAAAAACAGCGGTAAAGTCAACAAATACCCAGCTGTTTAGGGGGCGTGCTTTCTGAAATGGGGCTGTCCCATGAGAAACAAAATTTATGCCCAAGCTCTTCAATTGTAGGCCATCCTCATATCGGAGGTCCATCAGAATCCAGAAAATATTCAGAGCTGGGTCCTCAAGTTGAAAGAATGTTCAAGCTTGCTTGATTGTTCTCTCCCGCAGGTTTTTTCGTGTGCCACAGCGTCGCACTCACATTGTTAAACTGTTGGGGTATACTCTTTTGGGCTTGTTTGAAGTGTCCCTTGATCCAAACAGAAGTCAAGCTAATTGCAAGGCGGATCAGTTTGGCCAAGTTTCAAGTTGACCCCGGCCAGGTCTTGGAGTCGGCATCTTACTACGACCTGGCGGCAGAGGTGGCGCAGAAGGCGCCATGGCTAAGGATCAAGAAGCGCGTAGAAAGCCGGCAAAGGGATTTGGGTTGTTGATTGAAGGTACACCAACTGGAACAGCAACTGTTGTTGATTGGGTTGTTGTTGTTGTCGTTGCTTTTCGATTGGATGGAACACCAACTAGAAAGCCGAAGCCCAAAATGGGCGGGTTTTCACATCTTTGGAGAGAGATATCTCAAAGGCAACCGCCCACTTGGATGTCGGCTGGTGTCATGATCGGTCAGAAACAAGTGCGGTCCGCTTAAGAGAAAAGGTATCCCACAGAAGGGAGGGCTTGCTTGCCTCAAATTCGGGGCGTGAATGAGCCCTAGATAGAAAATCGTCTTGTGTCCATGATGGTGAAGGAGTCCACACTGGAGTATTGTTGGGTCTGCTTTAATTGCTCCCCCACTGGAACAGTGCCAACAGTCGGCAAGGCCTCTTTAGTGGAGAATACGGGGGTTTGGGTTCGACTCCGACTTGTCCATACGGCATTGAGTATTGCCAATACATAACTGTGTATTGCCAAGATTTACTCTCAGATTCCCAGTACGTACTTAAGGTAGTATTGCCAATTCTAAATTTATGATTGGCAAGACTTATTCACAGATTCCCAGTACTTAATTTAGTATTGCCAGTTCTAAGCTGTGTATCGCCAAAGCTTACTCTCAGATTGCCAGATCTCAGCAAAAACACTCTTCAAGAGTAATCGCTACGGCTTTGCTCTTGGAAGCTTACACCCAGCCAAAACATCATGGACATTACGTGACTGTTTGGCTTTAATATTATGGAATTACTTAAGATTCAATGTTTTGGGGACCGCATCCAAAATAAAAATGTCTAGATCGTAGTGCTGGCTTGCCGGATCTTGCCGGTCTTTTCTCTGGTAGGTAAGGGTTCCTATATTCTGCGTATCGCTCAAAAGTTGGAAATGAGCAACCCCGCCCAAACCGGATGCTTTTTCATGTCGCTTGCCCTTGAAACCAATCGTATCCAACTGAGGCAAACCCAAGGCCGTGGGGTCCCCCCCCATTGACAGGTTGGCCGCTACGATGACTACGTCCGCATTTCTTTGGAGCAGCGCAAAGCTCGGGAGCGCTTGTGACCTCCAAACCCGAAGTGACATTGAAGGAGCGATTTGAGGGTGCCCTTTGGGAGGGTAAGGGACGACCAGTTTTGCACAGCCTGAAACATCAGAATGCTCCACAGCTCTCTGCCCACCCTCAATCAGATAATTCGAGGGCAGTTTGTCTAGAGTTCGAGCTCAAGGCAATGCGTGACCCATTGCATTCTATGCGAATAGACCTGGTTGACTTTAGTGACCTTGTTGACCATGTTGAGGGCTTTCCGAGTCCTGGTTCTGCTTGGCCCTGGTAATCTAAACCGCCAAAGCCGGCCAAAGGTTCAAGGCGTTTGATGAAGTTGACAACCGGCTCTTGAGGATCTCCCTCAGCGCCTGAAGGGTTTCTCACATGTTCGAAGGGAAGGCACCCTGAACCATAGCTGTACTTGAGGTTTCCTTGGGTACGGGAATCAGATGAGGAGGTTCTGTCAGTTGCTTGACGAGATGGAATTATTCTACGGTGGAGTGAGTAAGGGAACCCCTGTCGACAGTGTGTTGCATTATCATATGTTGGCATGCTTTCAACCATCACCTGATGGTTGCCAATTTCAGAAGGGTATCGCCAAACATAGCTATGAATTTCAATGGAGACCACCCTCAGGATTGATTGGTGGTTGCAAAAGAAGCGAAGTGGTTATTCCTCTTGGTGAGAATCAGCCATGTTCAATTGATTTCCCATTCGGTTTGGAAGCCAACAAATCCACAACTTGCTGGTGAGCACAAGCCGGGAATGAGGGAATGACCCCTAGAAGCCATCCCCTATGGTTTCCTTTGAGGGACTCCCAAAACGATTCCGCCCATGGCAGCAAGACACGGCAGGCGTGCGGTTTGCGGCTTCGCCTCTGAGGTTCAAGAACTGCAGCGCCACGGTGGAGTTCCTCCGTTCCTTGCCCCGGGCAGAGGCGGGTGCCGTTTTTTGAGGGTTGACCCGTTTCGAAGGTCGACCATTTGGAGTGTCATTTGCCCGAGCCAGGGGCTGGGTTTGGTGTTCCTAGTGATTTTTCTGGTAGTTTTCTCCTTGAACAGCCAGCCCCTGTGATTTTGAGAACGGCAAGAGTTGGGCCTGCGACCACGTGGATCCGACAAATTGTTGGACCCCTCCAGGTGATTGTTTTCCTTTGCTAGTTTAAAATCGTCTTTCCAAGCATTTGACACAAGTTGGGGATGTTTTTGTTAAGTAAGCTTCCCAATTCCAACATCTCACGGCCATCCCTTTTTGCTTGGTGTCACAAGGCCGGGCGCATCCTGCTGCGGCGGCGGGCGCTCATGCGTCATGCGCCCAAGGAGCGATTTCGGCGGGTTTGGGAGGTCGAGCAGCGCATATTCTTCAGATGTCCCTGCCCAAAGAATCTGACAGAGGCTGAAAAGAAGGAACAGGGAGCCTGCAGTTGGGAGGAGTCTCAGATTCTGACACATGTCAAGACATAATGTCGCAAAGATACGGCCACAAGCTGCAGCCGTTTTTTGTTGAGATGTTCCCGCGCATGCGCTCTTGCCGCGCCTCAGCTTGGCAGGAGACCATCGCCCTGGTGAGGCACTTGTGTGAGCTGGACAGCCAGGCCGGGCCATGTTTCAAGAAGTTCCCTTGGGCTCTCTGGCAATCGCAATCCCGCTCGCAGGCCTCGCCGACGGAGCAAGGCGCGGGGGAAAGATTGCAACGGAGGGAGTGGCTTTCGGACGCACGGACAGCAATAGCCCATTTGCTGAGCAGCGTCCGCTTGTTTTCTCCTTCGCTTTGCGTCTCCCATTGACATCAACCGCCAAAGCGCTGAATTTGCCTCGCCGGAAGCAAGCTGGATCTTCAGGTCCAGCCATCGACGAGCTGCTGCCGGTCTTTGCCGCTTGAGTGAGCATACGGCCGGTCAGCGGGTTCCAAACAGAAAATCAACAAGCTTGGCTGTGTTTCTGCAAATGTTGGTTCGCGGTTCTGAGATTGAGCTTCGGCTTTGTAGGCAGGGGGCACCTTTCGGGATCGACATGAGATCGGTGTTCTTCAGACGGTCTCGCGCCCTCTTCTGCTTGTTTAGAGAAACGCCAACTTTGTCCACGTGGACATTTCCTGAACATGTTGCCTCCTTTTGGAAGATGTCAAAGGATGACAAAAGGAAATCAAGCATTTTGTCGAGCCGTGTATTTCAAAACACCCATTTGATCCCATTTGGCAACAGAGGGGACTGGGCCTGTTCTATTGTGTGGCTCCTGGGGTGACCAAAACCTTTTGCCAAGGAGCAGCTTGCGAAGAATCAGCTTGTCATGAGCGAAATTGTTGTTGGGTCGGGGTGTGTCAAAAGTTGTGAATGCTTAGCAGACAAAAGCAGCCCGTTCCTTAAGTGGGCAGTGTTTTGGGCACAACCGTTCGAGCCATTCCCTCCCATGGTTACATAGTCCCACATCGGATGAGCTTGCTTCGTACTTTCTGACGTGCCTTCGTCAGCGTGCGCCATGCACGTCTGTTATGAAGACGCATGCACCTAGAACCTCTCGGTGTCAAGCCTCAACCATTGAAACGGAAGCATTGGCGTTGTGAAGTCCGTCGTTTTTCTGTTTTGGTGGTAACCACTAGGCTGCAAATGCAGGGACTGCATTGGTTTGAAAGTTGAAATGTTGGATTCTCATTCTGTTGTTCTAGGCGCACCAACAAGCAGTTGTCTTGAGTCCTCTCTGGGACTCATGTGAGCCCCCTGTTCTTGTTTGCAACAGAGCCCTGGACAGCAGTTAAGCGGCCCGCATGAATGATTGCGCATCTGCCCAGCCCTGTTTTGTTCAGGGCTTTGCGCTGAATTGGCAGTGTTCCATGCCAAGCAGTGCAACTTTAACATTTGGGGTTAGACCGCATGCCTATGAAGAGTTGTGTTTTCTGATGTCAACTTTAGTTGAAAGAAGTGGTCCCATGCAGTGATGTGACTTTCCTGCTGTGGTGACGCACGGAGGGTGCGGTTGATTCCCAAAATGCTGCCAGCAGGAAAGATGGTAAGCCCCCAGATTTACCAGAGTTTTATGGTCGGATGTGGTCGTTTCAGATGCTTTGACCGTAGTGAATTGCTGCGCCCAGCACAAACTGCACCGGTTAGCCGTGTTTTTGCTGGGTCCCTTGTGAACCTGTTTGACCTTGCCTTTGGGGGTGGTTTTTCTTTTCACCATCAGGGTGTTGAGGATGTCACCTTGCATTCCCAGGTTGATGACCTGCCGCAGCTGGAGGCATGGAATCGACACGAACCACATCTCTTCGGACTTGCTTTGGTGCGGGCAAGAGCCCTTGGCATTGGTAGGGATGACAATTTACCCGTGTTCATAGACTTCCTTCTCAATCAGAGGTCCACTCGCTGCGATCTCTTTGATGCGGGTCGTTATTGGCAAGGCCAGCTGAAGTATCGTTTCATTCATCATCGGTAGTTCGATGTTGCGACCAACGAGGGCGAACGTTGCAAGCCAAAGGCGGTTCAAACATGGTACCAACTGCTACCCAACATGAAGCCATGGCCGCCAACCAAGATACTTTCTCGGGCGGGTCATAGCTTGAAATTCAAGGTTCCTGATAGTCCTGGTCGGTAAGGTCCCAAAACGCAGACCCCCGGCACCCCTGATCAGTACACCAAATTCTTCTTTGGGCCTCCCTGTTTGGCCAATAGGACTGCAGTAGGAAAGAAACCGAGAATTGTGTTCAATTGTCCAGCGCTGGAGAGGGCCATGATGAATATGAGATAAAGCGTCAACATGAGAATGTTGAATACCATGTTCCGAATATCATACTCCACAGAACAATCTTTCCATATCTTTCCACAGGACTGCCGAAAGTTGATCGTGAACTTGCAGGTAGCATGGCAGACCTGGACAAAGTTGATGCGATAAGTGCAAACATATCATTAACATGCATCAAGTTGGCAAGGGGCCATTACATGTATAATTGTATTTGGTTGAACAATATCAGTGACAAGTGCAAGCGTCGCATCGGTCATTCCTGGATTCCTGGAACGCAATGGGACGCGTCAGCACCTTCTAGGTGTAACCGGAAGCCAGCCATTGACTGGGGATGGAGTTTGCTCCCCAGCTTAACATGGGATCCAAGGCCCCAAGGCCCCAAGGCCCCCGGACCCCAGACCCAATACCCAAGACGCGCCATAGAGGAATCTCCTTTTGAGGGACCCCTTTTTGGGGTTCCGTATTATAATTTGCAGGGGAGCAACGCATCCCCATCCCCTGGCTGATGCCTTCAGGTGTTTTTGCGCTCCGTGCTGCTGGATGATGGCTGCCAGCTTCCCCACTCAAAGGCGCATCGGAGAACTAGCGCAGGACTTCAGGGCCGCTCCCCTCACACAACGCTTGACTGGAGCTTCTGAAGGATCATTTCCTCTGAAACATGGCGCTTGGTGGGTTCCATGGTAGTGAGGGGGGGTACTCTCCAATATCCCCCATTGATAAACTACTTCCTTATCGTTCAACATCCTCCTGTCAGCTTCCATGATTCGCGGGAGGACGCTAGTATGTTGAGTATGCATGCATATGCCCGTTGCAATTGCAAATTCTTCAAACGGTATTGTCAGCGGCTCGTTGTAATAGCCTCCAAGCCACATGCTTGAATGCGGTCCGGGCCATAAACGCGCTCAACAAGCTCGACCATCAGCAGCTTTCTGAGTTTGACTCGAATCTGGCACGGGAGCAAAGGCAAGTCCGAAGCCTTTCCATTGAGCGACAGATCGCCCGAGGCGGAGCGGCTCTTTCCCACGCTGCTGGAGCTACTGGTGACTCGTCAGTCCAAAGGCACTCAGAGCCCTTTGGGTCAGGGCAGAGGGTTTTTCTCACTTTTGTTTGAAGCTGGTGTTGTTAGGCTCCCCTTGATTGAAGCCAACCAGGTTTTCCAGGGGTGCTATGAAAGGGATGTGTCTCACTTTGAGTTTTGTCAACCCATGTCAACCAGAGTCTCTTGTTTTGTTCCCTGGATCTACGGTTCGTTTGAAAGTAGGATTTGGAGCTGGAGAATTCGGATTCACTTTCAAGCAATCTCAAAACGCCTTCAACAAAAAAGACACCCAAGTGTGAAACCCAGGTATGAACATGTATGAGCCCCTGGTTCATAGGTGGATTAACCGAGTATGGTTTCGTATCGTGAAAGCTGCCCCCAGAGGGGGCCACAATGACCATGGGTTCATGGACGTGCAGAATCAGCCTTCGACAAGCATATTATAATGTCATGTGCCATGCTTCATGGTTTCATTGTCTTCCTCGCTTGAACCCACATGTGCTTGGTCGACATGCGCTCGGTCAACACCGAGGTGAAGTCACACAGTGAGCTGGTGTCTGGAGAAGGCGCTGCCAGCGACCAGCAAGAGGCGCACAGACAGGACATGAGGTCCAAGCCTGGGCAGCTTTTGGTGAAGCACGTGTTTGGAAACCAACGGCTCTGTCTGCCAACCAAGCACCCAATTGGATCGGTTGCTTACGGGGACGTGCCATAAAAGAAGCATATGAGAAAGGCGTCGCCCCAAACATCAGCCACGAGTTTGAACCATCGGAGAGTCTGCTTGCATTTGTTCGTAGTGCTGATACCCTTCCTCGCACCATCGTAGCGCCAGGGGTACCTGGAAGAAGTAAAGAGATATAATTACGTACAAGTCTAATAAAAGACCAATCACAATGGAATATAAAGATGAGATGATGGAAACAAATATATATATATATATATATATGTATATATGCATCAATTGAGGGAGTTCTAGTAGAGAACAATTACATGGAGAGCATGTTTATATTGGAGAAGATTCCATGGGAAGGAGAGTTAACCCTTAGAAGCGATCCGTGAGCTGGGTTATCAGTGTCCACCAGCAGTTTCTACCTCATGGTCTATCTCTTTGGGACGCTTCCCACCTGTCTAACCTTCCTCCATTCATCACCTAATAACCTTTGCCAACAGACGGGAAAGGGGTGGGCCTCTCTCTCCCTCCTATCCCCTCTCCTCTATTTCTGGAGTTGGGATCTGAGGTCAAGAGAGAGAGAGAGAGGACGGGATGGGAGTCATGGCGAGCCACTTCTTTACTTCCAGCACTAGCACCCACCTATCCCTCACCATCCTCGACCAAACAGTTAATTCCTGTCAGTGGCCGAGAGTGCGTCATTGTATACGAGATGTCCCAGCCCCAGCTGTTAAGATAGAATGAAAGTGGCTGGTGACATGTCTGTCTCCCATCCATCACCTGACTCTGAGCTGAGTGTTGGATGGGTCCTCATGTCCTAGCTCTGTCTCTCTCTTTCCTTCCCCAACAGCAATGTAGGGTGTCAGAAGCTTGGGGAATGAACAAATATAATTTAGATGAAAGTGGTCCAGAGATCGCAATCATTCACTCACATCCCAAATATTCCTTCCAACCATTCCTTCCTCGCATTATCCCGTCCCAGTTGTAAAGATGAAGAGAGAAGATAGAGAGGAGTGAGGAATGGAGAGAGTGGGACGGATGGGTCGCTTATGTCGCTAGCAAGGAAGTCCATGGCTCCGCAAGCCGCAGATCCATCCCGTACCCACCCTCATGTTGTCCATCTTATGGACGGGGCGGGCAGATCACTCTCCATTCTGAGTTTTAAGTTTTTTCCCCGTATTACCGCGGGTAGGTGCCATGAAAAGTGGAGCGGGGGAAGCGAAGTGAGTCCAAAAGGATGGAGGTTTCCAGTGCCGCAAAGTGTTTGCCAGCTGCCAGAGCTTCAATTATATACCTCGAAAGGTAGGCATGGATCAAGGGTTGTGCAGGGCGAACCTGAGTGTGGGGAGAACAAGGCCGCCAGCAGCATCGCTGCCGACATCATGCGGCTCATTCGACAGCCTCTTGGACTTTTTGTGTTTCTTGGGCAGGTCGCCCTTTTGTCGCTTGGGATACATTAAATGGGGGGTTCCCAAATCTTTACATGCATGTGTCCATTGGGCAGTTTTTCAGCGGCAGAAGTTGGGACATATCTAGCCGCATGTGGCGTCATATTGTTCATGTTCAGGCCGAAACCAACCAGCTGCACCCAAGTTCCACCACTATTCTTTCGACCAGGCAGGATAGTTCGGCATAGTTCGGGCCGGCGCTTGGAGCGCCTCACAGTTCCAGCCAGTGTCCGGACTTTTGTGTCTTGGGACAAGATTTGAAATTTGCTAGCCAACAAGAGGCCCAAACAGGACTGAGATGGGAAGACATGGACCAAGATCCCACACGGCTGTCCTTCGATGGGTTCCGTTTTTGCCTCTGAAACCACTGGTTGCAGCTGAGAAGGTTTGCGCACGAAACATGGTGCGCGCCCTTCCCCGATACGTGTTGAGAGGAAGGTTTTGGAAGCATCAGCAGAAAAAGAGCCTGTCCATTCCCAGGATAGAAACAACCAAGTCTGCCCAGTTTCAGGATTCTTGGAAACGGGTGAACAAATACCCGTGCGAAGATGGGTGGCTCCTTGGGAGCGGTGACTCTCTTCGAGGACCTCGGCTCTTCGACCCTTCGACCCTTCGGCTGAGCTCAGGTATCCCAGCGACGCCGCCTTGGCCAACACCCTCATGGTGTGCCAGCGGAGTCCTCAAATCCGCATTCGACGGAATCCCCCAAGCTAGGATCCTACTTCGACAGTCCCCCAGGCTTCAAGAGTTGAGAGACTAGCTCAAGGAGCCGTTTGTCCATGTTCGACAGAGACAACTCAGCTGGGATACCAATTACATGGAATTCCCCTATGCATATCTACCAGGGGGCCCGAAAAGCACAGATACAGCTGAAACAAAGAGGGAATGTCTTTTGAGGTGGCAATGCGTTGAGCACTTCTGGTGACCATGTTAGTTTGCAGTCGTCGGCTGCTTGGGGTCGGAGCAGCGTGTGTCAGGGGCGGGCTTTCCGTCAGAATCCAAAGCGGGGCGAAATTTGGTTGAAAAACCTTCATATCACGAGTTGGCAGTTGAATGTTGCCAGGGGCGCTCAGGGTCCTAGGGGTCCACAAAGCATCGATTTGTAGCTGGGCTCTGGTTCCAGATGGCCTTTCGATGTTTGAGGGTGCCCTTTTTCAGGTTTGCCTTAAAGGCATGGGTCGGTGAGATGTGATCCAGATATGCAGGCACAAGTGACAACGGGAGCTAGACATAGAAGCTGTTGGGCCGTGAGGTCGCTATGGGCAAGATGCACTCCAAGGTTCATAGCAAGAGCCCGATGAAGGCCGCTCACCCGAGAAAAGCTGGGTCAATTACAATAAGTTTGGGCAACATTTGGCGCCACAAAGGGGGTTGCATCAATCATGAAAGTCTCTTTCTTGAGAGTCCCTTATTTCAGATTGATATTAGATCTCCAGTCGTGCAGATTCTTCAAGTCCAAGTTGCATCCAAAGCCAGTCACCTCTCAGAACCCATGGCTTTGTGGACGGCTTCTTCTACGCGGCCGAGAAGCTTCACCGGCATCAGTTGCTGATGCAGTGGTGCTTTGAACACAAGGCGCGTGACTGGTGCCCACGGCCTGGGCTCCGTGTCATGAGTGCTAAGATGAAGTCGCTGGCAACATGCTGGTTGAAAAGACTGTTAGACTGTTAGTTGGCACATTGATGGTGCGGTGTTATTTAGTCAAAGTGCCTCACCATGATCTTTGATTTGTTGTGTTTCTTGGTTGGGCTGTTGACGAAGAGTTGCAGTATATAATCTAGCTACTGCAATGTTAAGGTAGTTCTTTGCCTAGCTACATTTCTGGGTTGGACTTGTTCTCCAATACTTCTTGTCAGCTGGAGCGCATTGCCAGAAGCATGTGCTGACGCTAACGACTTGCCGGCAGTCTTTGAGAATCCTTTGTCCAGTCTGTGCAGCGGGGTCCTTCAGTGTCGGTGGTTCATCTCAGGGGTGGCCAAGAACGTTGTGTATGTGTTTGTCTGTGTTTGTGTCTGTGTCTGTGTGGTCAATCACCTTGGACCTTCTGATTTCCGGGTGCTTGGTGTTTTGTTGGTTTTGGTCGCAAGGCAATGTCAAGTGCTGCCATTCCCTCATCCAGTTGGGTTGGGTTTAGAGGTGGTAGCTTATCCAGAACCAGCCTGTGACCTCAAGCAGCACCATCTCGTGGCAAGGCCTTCAAAGCCACATGTTTGTACGGTGGCAGGATGCAGGGCGCCTGCTGGACGTGTGCAAGCGCTGCGGGCCGGCGGACCAGAGTCTTTGGGTGCAGGCCAGGGCTTGGCGCCGGGGAGCTGGGGTTTACTGATGATGTTTTGCTCATAAGATAGGGGGCAATGTGTAGCGCAGCAGTTGGTGGGATTGTTTACACCTTCTTTTCCCGCATGCAGCATTTGCCCAAGTGTTGACCTTGGGGACGGGGATGGGGTGGGGAATGTGAACGTCCACTCTGGCTGCGCGAAGAGTTGAGAAGCTGTGCTTTCGGTTTTGGGGTGGGGCGGGGGAATGGTAGTGTTTTCTTCTTTGACTGTGCGCCGGCAGACGATCCAAGAGATTTGGAAAAAAGAACCCGACCCCTCGCGGGGTTGCCTCCTTTTCCATTATTAAACCAAACAAGCAACAGACCCAAGGAAGACAATGGACTTTTTAAAAGCCAAGCAACAATTAATTGGATCTGGCATTTTTTCGAGGGTACCCCGGTGTTTCTTGGTTTTGAAGGGAAGCCAAAAGGAGAACCTGGGTGTCCCCTTTGGGTGTCCCCTACGAGGCCTTGTCCTTCCTGGCCTCGCCAGAAAGCGGCGAGGGCCACCTGGAGGACGGACATGGGACGTGCGACCGCGGAGGTGCCCCAAGTGCCGTGTCTTTTGCCGTTTCTGTTGGGGAGGGTTCCCCTATAGACGGCCGAAGAGAAAGAAAAAAGGGAAACAAAACGGGCACCAGCTTATTCTAACCTCTCTACGGTGTTTATTGGGTTCTCGAATGGGGACATGGGGGGGGTGGTGTTTCATGGGTGGATTCTGTGTTGGTTCCATTGTTCCCTTGGAAAAGGGGGAGGGGGAATGCTGGGTTGGGGCGTTACCCTTCAACTTTGTGGGTAAATGTGCATTGTCCGTCATATGAAACAAAAAGGGCAACTGTGGGGGGCAATGGCCACCAAGCATGAACCAATCCGGAGCCCACCCCAACCATCCGCAGGCTAACCCTGAACCCACCCACAGCATACCTAAACCCACCCCAGCCCCACCTCAAACCTACGCCAAACGAAGGGCGCTGAAATGGAAAGCTGCCCCGGAATGATACTTCCCCAAGTTAGTTGGGTAAGGGCAAAACAGCGGCCGATCAGCCCAAGCCCAGTTGAGGCTCGAGTCAGCTCGCCCAGTCGTTTGCTAGCCGGGCAAAGACAGGCACTTGCACTGGTGGACCATTCCGACTGGCCGGTGTTGCTCACAGCTAGCGATATTCCTCATTCTGCAGCCAGACCGGGGATAAAACGAGCTGGGCCCCCCAACGAATGGGGTCGTACATTCGGTTGGAATTCCTTGAACTCTGGTGAAGTGTGCAGATGCGGTTCAAATTGTCAACCTCTTGTATCTTGCCCGTGTTTGATATCGTCAGGCGATGACCACAATATGGGCGCCAGAGCCACCTCGCAGACATTTCAGAGCTGCTTTCGTGGAACGGGCATTGTGAAACCCACCGGACGCGAGGAGATGCAAGAGGTGCTGCGCCACATTGAGGACTGTTTCGTACTACGTATTTGTTGGGTACAATCACCCCGCCAATTGGTAAGGGGCTTCATGAGCCAGGCCAAGCAGCTTTCCAAGCAAAGCCATGGTCGACGCTTTCATCAACGGGATCTTAGACAACCATCAGGTCCCAGTAAAGAGGCCCCTCAATTTGCGCCGCGTTTTGGTCCTTCAAACGCAGCAGGTTGCGCTGGTTTCGTTGCAAGTGAGGTGCTTGGGCAAAGTCAAGGCGGGCCATGTCCTGTGCATGGGGATTTTGGAGAGAGATGAACCAGAGGCTCCCATTGGAACATGCTAGCCCTAGAAAACGAATTGCCTATGAAAAGCGGTGTCTAAACAAATGCTTCCATTTGCCATCCAGGTTTGTTCCAAGGGGAGTGAACATTAGCGCATTGAATATGTTGATAAGTGGCAGGGGACCAACAGATCTACCTTCACGGTGCCTTCCCGGGGCCCTGTCTGAGTCGCTTTGGACGAGTTCAGTGGCAGTTTTGAGTCTTTGGTTTGAATAAGAACCCACCCTTTCGACGGTCACGAGGAAACCAGTGGCAAACCGACTGCAAGTGTCTCTTGCGGCAGCAGCAAAATGCTGGCTCTGCACCGAAACCCGATGTTCCAGGTATGTGTGGTTCTGTTTGTCTGGTCGGGAGCTGAAGGGTACCCTTGTTCCTCACGAGGTAGATCAGACATCTCGCGGCGAGGCGGAGAACCATTGCAATGCACATGTAAAATCTGAGTCTTTTCCCATTCTGGCCAGGCCTTCCATGCACGTAGACAAGATTGCAGACAGGGGGCTGCTTTGTTGCTTGCAAGGTGACTTACTTGGTATTGCAGACGGGATGAAAGCAACTCGACGTCCAGAAGCAATTGGAATGCACTCGTCCCTTCCCCTCTCTTTCCATGGTGTGTCAGTTCTTGGTTTTGGAGGTACGGGAGACGGTATACCCTTACGTGAGGGGTATCCTTGGCCCAAACCTGAAACTTGCCCTGACTCGGCCCAAAGCAAGTGTCCATGACTCAGCTGACAACATCCCTCGCAGTCAAACCGGAGGCAAACCTGCGATACCTTACGCCTGGAGAGGACAGCGATCTGATGCCGCTGCTGCTGGTCATCGAAACGCTGCGCAACAGCGAGGAGGTCCCAATGTCCAGCCAATGGCTCGGGTGAGGCGTCCGGTCGTCCCCTAAGGTTGACCCCGGATGAATCAGCCCCAGTTTACTAATCGGGGTGTCCCTGGGTTCAGTGGGGATTCATCACTTTTGGAGGGGAACACCCAATATGAATAAACTGGGGTTGATTAATCTGGGGTCAACATTGCATCCCAGACCTCCGGTGAGTACCCATTTCATTCAAAGTCAAACAGGTATCCTGTCTTCCCCCTCCCACTCCATGCTTGTCACGGGGGTTCACAGAACCCTGCTGTTCAACACATTGACATTACGGTTGCTTGGACGCGGAGACGGACAATGTACATATATATATATATATATATATGGGGGCCCATGAAGGTCCCTCACGATGGGTCGGTGAATCAGCCGGCCAAGTGTCAGCTGAAGGGAAAGCACATGGGTAGCAAAAAAACACGCAGAGTGGGTGTTGTGCCGTGGCAGCCATACTTGCTTTTGTCAATCATTACGATACAGGGATGGTATGCCTTTAGCGTTATGGATCATGCAGGGGACCATCTTACCCCAACCAGAATGCCACAGTTGACGTGCTGTCCGGGCGCCACATGTGCCAGAATCGGGCCCATGTGCGATCCCACCAGCACTTGCTGCCAACAAGCTGCTAGACCAACCTGTTGGGGCTGTCGGCATTTAGACACTCGAGAATGGACAGCTACTTGAGACGTCGTATTTATTCTTAAAGTAAACCAGTTGAGTCTGGTCAGCAACGTTAGCACGGAGTTCAAGACCGCTGGAACCTGTTCACGTCCTGTCTGACCAGGATCTTGAGCAGCAGTGGAACAGAAGTCTAGTTTGGCTGGGTGTTAGAATCAGAGACGGGACGTCAATCAATTGAATAAACTTAAAGGAATGTGTGGTTTCAGGCAAGCCTGAGTTCGACTATGCGCAAGAGGATCCACGGGTAAAATGCGCAGGTGACGATCGGTGACGTGCGGCCCTACCTCCAGGCGCGAGAGCTGAGCGGATATCCCAGTTGCAGCCGGTTTTTTGGGACCCTTTAGTGAATCCCTTGAAAACGACCCTTGCAAAAAGTGGAATCGCTGCATGGACGGCCATCTAAAGTGCTGATGTGGTGCCATCTGCAAAGTTTTGCTTGGCACATTCCCAATTTTTGGGGTAGGGATTGACAGTGGCTGACATATCAAGCTGCCTCTGCTAGTGGCAAGGGGACCAGCTTGGCCAAGCAGGTGCATCCTTGGCATGTTCTAGGGGCATGTACAGAGATTGCTGCCTTGCACCCTCAAGTGCCAACTGTACAAGTCTAAGATTGATCATTGGCATTGGTGATGCTTATTTTAATCGTTGGAGACATCTTCAGCTAAAGTTGACTGCTTCCGTGGCAGGCATGCAGGCTTGGCAGGCATTTTCGCCATGCCAGCCATCGGTTTGCCCATGTCGACCGTTTTTGCCTCTGAATGATGGTGTTGAGTGTCGTGGTGGTGGAGGTGGCGGGTAGTGATGGTGGTATTGATGGTGGTGGTGATGGGGGTAGTGATGGTGGTGACAATGGTGGTGATAATGGTGATAGTGGTAGTGGTAGCGTTCATTGCAGTCATTATGATCGGAATTCTGCTGCTGCCAGCGCTGCTGCTGAAGCTATTTAATGTCATATCAATATGGTACGACTTAGTTGCCAACCCAGCTCGCACCCGAATTCTACATGAACTTGCAACATGCCCGTGCAACCGATGAACTGTTGTTTCCTCAACTGGCGGCACGAACATATTATTAGCTGTTGCGTCAATCACGGCTTGCACCAAGCACCATGAGGGGGATTCGGCACCAATGACCGGGGCCCCTGTACTTCCCTTTTCGGTTCAATCATCGCAGTTTAGTCCAATTAGTTGACTTTCCTTTTGGAAGGGGGTTGTTCAAAATATATCGGGAACCTTGACAAAGCCATGTTTATTAGGTTGTCAGAAATCCTCTTCCGTCACCCGCCAACTCTTTGAGGCACAGTATCGGCGACTGGTGGACTCTGTCGAAGTCTCCCGGGGCAAGTCCACCCAGGACTAGCTCGTTGTGCTGTCCGTTGGGCAAATTGAAGCGCGACCTCCCCTGCCAAGTGTTTGCGTCCAGCATCCCAGGATGAAGGTTTCTTTGTTCGGTCACCAGGTCAGCATGGTCAGCTAATAATCGGATTTCTTCGAAATCTAGGAATTCCTTTCGACATGTCTGCTGGGATTCCCTTCGCAAGGCTGTTTTTGTTCTAGCTTCCTGTTTGAACCAAAAGAGGTGCATCCCCATCAGAAACACCCTGTTGAATGCGTTTCAGGCTACTGCATTACCCTTCTGTCCACCAACCTGCAACCTGAGCAACGAGTCCTGAAAGACTAGGATCCTTTAAAAGGGATCCTCTGGGTTCCGCGTTAGTCGACGGAAGGGTAATGAAGCCGTTTAATGTCCTCCTGCGTCTCCGCAGGACCGGCAGGAGATCGCTCGCATGCAGCAGGAGATTGTGCAGCTGCGTACGCAGGCGAGCCGCCCTTTGGGCGTGGCTGGAGGATGGATTGTGCGTGCAGCGCTTTTTTGGGGGGAGGCAGGAGGCAGGGTTCCTCAACAAACAACAATGCAAACATATCATACATGTTTGTGGGGCATATATATATATATAAATACGCATATGCATATATATATATATATATATATATTTAACAACGTAGAATCTTATAGGCTGGAATTAAGCTACGTGGCCTTAGTTGTTTGGGAGGAGTGGGGGGGGATGAAGTTGTGTGAATATATTCTCGCAGATTTGGAGCAGACAGACATTGATTGGGGATGGCTTCAAAGAGTGGCACGTCGGCATTGAGCAGCCACCGCTTTTTCATGGGAGGCTGCCTTTTTGCTTTTCCCAGAACCTAGCAGGGGAACAATTTAGACAGGCTGACTGGGGAAAGAGCTCCTTGTTCCTTCCGTTGTTCCCTTCTTCCAACACAAAAAAAGCTCAGTTTGCTGGTTCGTTTTTCTTGTTTTTGAGTTGGGGCTGCAAAGAGCTAGAGCTTTTGTCAACTAGTGTATACCATTTGACCCGCTAGGGCTTCAAGAAGCGCTTTTTTCTTCCCTAGTTCTACACTAGGGTTGCCTTGGTTTTCCAGGTTCCAATGCAAGCCCTCCCCTTTTGGTCGGAATGGACAGTTTGTCAAATGGCAGCCAAAGCCTTGAATTCCTGTGACCAGATGTGTCCTTGGATGCCTCGGATCGAGCGTCGGCTTATTTGGAGTGCTTCAAGCAATGGATCGGCAACCCTCGACGCTGCAATCAGATCCCTCCCGAGAGTCATGGAAGAGAGACCTCCAAGTAACGGACCACCCCATACACGTCCCTTTCTACGCATGTTGCTGGGGATGAAACCAGCAACGAACTTCAAAGCACCGTAAGTGAGCCTCGTTTTGCTGCGCTTGAAGACAATCCAAAGCAAACCACCGCAAAGGGCAGCCGATGTTCGGTGAGTTTCCCGCCTGACAAGTTTGTTGAGTTTGGGTGCTATGTCCACTTCCTTTGATACAATGTACATCCAAGCAAGTCATGAGGTGGACTTTGAGTTGGTATCATGCCCTCTGATTGAGCGATATGGAGTGCACTACACGGCCAGGCCAAGGAATTTCAGAACACGAGGTGCTTCCAGTGCGGGTCCTGGATGCCGGCGCCGAAAGCTTTTGCAACAGATCCCCTCGACAAATCCCCCAATTGATGGGCTGTTACAGCTCAACATTTTCCGGGCTCCTTCAAACACAACTGATTCTGCCCCATAAAACAACGAGGCGACTGGCTCAAAAAGGACCCGCACCTAGATGTTTGCTTCAATTACAAAGGGCGCCTCTGAGATTGCTCCCACAAAGCCCAATGGGCCCCTTCACATGTAGAACCAGGCCCCTTTGACACATGTCAATCTTGCAAATTTGCCAAATAAACGACCTTGGATTTGCTTTTTGAATATTCGAGAAATAAACAGCAACAACGTAAGAACGCGAAATCAGTTGCCGTTTCGGACCTTGCCCCGCCGCGTGGTTTCAGCCAAGAGAGCTGAGCTACCCTGAAATGAATACGTCTCAAACTGGCAACCCGCCGGTCTGACATGGTTCGCGCAAGAGGACACCGGCCTTACTTTTTCAAGAGAGTGGAACGCCATTTCCGGGTCAAAGCCCAAAGCCAGAACTGTGACGCCCTGTGGCAAACGAGCTGGCGAACATGGATGGCAATATATGTCCATGGTTCAATCAAATGAGCGCGTGGTGTGTGTGTGTGTTTGTTGTATGTGGTTGTTTGGTTCTTTGCTTGTTTGGTTGTTTGTTTGCTTGTTTGCTTGTTTGTTTGCTTGCTTGCTTGTTTGCTTGTTTGTGTATCTGTTTGTGGCCAAGGTACCATAGGACCAAACAGACTGAATCTTAGGCGTTTATATGCTCTTAACTCTCATAATATGCCCTTCATTCACTCCTCCAATTCTCATTTGACAAGTCCCAGAAGCCTTGGAGTGGATGAGAGAGTGACAAAGAGATACCATCATCTCTGAATACTCCTCATTTGCAGTAGCATTCTGGTGAGCAACAGGTAACCAACTTAAAACGAAGAAAGACCAATCGACAAGAAACACACAGGACGGATATGAATATGAATGCCGTTACTGACTGGGTATGTTTCTCTAGACTGTGTTTCGAAAAAGTAATATAGTGTCATCGGAGGTACATTTAATGTGCGGTGCGCTATGTTATTGTGTATCTCATGCGTTTTTATATCTAATATTATATACTGTTTAATGGTTGTTGTTTGATGTTTGTTTATTTGTAGTTTATTCATGTATCTCAAGAACTAGGCAACTGTTTACACATAGTGGGTTGATTGTGCATTGATAGTCATTTGTTTGTTTAAATTATGTATGACTTGCTATTTGCGGCTTTCTTGCGGTCTTGTCCTAAAGTTGTTTTCTTGTAGAACTTGTTTGATAAGAACTACGTACAATGCAAACCGAGGAAAGGAACTTCCTAAGTCAATAAATCAATGGTTGTCTTTACTCTCTCATCTCAACGAATTTAGATTTCTCGAGCCACATCTTCTGAACTTTACTGTTGTGGTTTTGGTCACTTGTTGCTTTCATAGCGACAAGTCAGGGTAAACTACCCATTTGGGCGCCTCCCCAATCGAAAAATCCCATCTCGAGGCTTGCAGGTCGGCTTCGAGCCGAGGTGTGGCCTCACGCTGGAGGTGCCTGCGGTGCACTTCTTCTGCGGTCACTCGCGGGGAGCTCGGCGGCTTGATTTCGATCGGGTCGGGTGATGATGCGAACCACCTGCAAACAAGTCGAAACCAAATTCTATTTAAAGTAACACCGAAAAGGGATACCGCAAAAAGTCAAACCCAATCGATATTTACAATTTGTTGATTTGGGTGTGTCTTGAGCTAAGCCCCTTTGGGGTTGTTGCAGGCCAAAGGAAACGGTAGCCGATTTTGCTGGTTCCAGCTGAGACAAACTTATGTTTGACCTTTGCAAAACTGAGAGACCCCCTCATACCCCCTCAAACGGCTTTTTGTTTCTTAAGTTTGCTTGAAGCCAATCCCGGGTGGCTCGAAACAGGGTTCCCACCCCAATTTCTTGCGGGAATGTCTCAACAGGCCATGAGTTGATTTTCACAGAAATCCAGGAAGTATCGCAGAAAAAGCCTTTTGGTTAGGCCATGAGTTGATGTTCATGGATCCAGGAATTCTCGCAGAAAGCCCTTCGGGGTTTTCCACCGAAGGTACCACTCCTTCTGCACACCAACGGACGGCACCTGCCCCAAGTGCTCCTCCGGCGCTTTGCCGAAGCTGTCCTTGAAGGCGGGATCGAGCGGTCAGGATTGCTCGTGTTCTTGGCTCCCAGCCATCCGGGTCCTTAGCTTTTTAGCCTTTTGGTGTTTAGTGGCTTCCATTTAACCCAGTAACAGTTAAACTTTTAGCGGGGGATCTGAGGGCAGCCCAGTCTTGAGTAAGCTGTTCGTGGGTTGCTTCTAAAGATGTTCGCCCTTTTCTTTGGCAGGCCAATCGTGTTAAGTCCCCGAGAGCCTTTTCGATGGAGACTCGTTGGTCATGCCCTCCACTGAAGCCGCCATTCGCAGATTCACCATAGTCTACCTGACGGCCAGTGAAGGGCACCCCTTTGACGGGCGCCATTTTGTTGCACAGGTCAACGACCCCTTTGACCATGTGATTCGGATTTTCCAAATGAGAAGCCTGGCGAAATCACAGCTGGGTCAATTTGGGTCTTGGGATTTGTAGATGTGTAGGCATTTCCGCGAAGTTCCACCGATTACGTGACAGGTTGGCAAGAGGCAGGGGACATAAGCCAGAATGGATGTGAGCTGATCCAATCCTTACGGACTGCATGTGAGCTGGACAAACTTGGTGACGCTGAAACCCCTGCGAACACCGGAAAAGGGATTTGTGTCAAAAGGAAAAGCAAGCCTCAAAATGGTTGGTGTCCATTTCATCTGGTTCCCTTATGCAAAAAGAAGCCAACACAGCAGAAGGAGATGCCCCGGAGTGTGTGGTCGGTCAGGTTCCAAGTGGCTTAAGCTCGTATCTGGCTTGCAATAATTATCCTCGGTTATCGTTTTTGGTTCGCGCCTACTACAGGATTATGCTTTAGTATCCGGCAATTGCAACCTTCAAATACCCGAGCCTGACCACAAACTTGGTCCAAAGGAAACTGGGCCCTTCAGAGTCTCATCCCGCCTTAAGTTCCATTTGTGTGTGTGTGTGTGTGTTTTAAAGGTTATTTTTTTTCTGTGGTGTTTACAGGAAACCCAAGAGGAACGGAACGCCACCAGTTTGGGTGGTCCCCGAACAAAAGGGCCTGTCCTCAGAGAGATTCTTTGATGCCAGGAGCAGCGAGAAGCGCAGGCAAGGAACGCTGAGGAGCAGCGCGATGTGTCTGTTGTCGGAGTCTTCTCTTCTGCTTCTTGTGCTTCTTCATAGGAATGCTACTAAGATCATTGTGTTTTTGTTGGCTTTTTTCCTCCGAATTCTGCAAGTGCAGCTGCTTATGCCGCTGCTCTTGTATGCGCCTCAGATTTGTTTGTTGCTGCTCGCTGAAGCAAGCAGTTGTCAATTAACTGCTTGTATTATAGCACATGGTTTGCAGAGGCCATGCCCAATTTACCAATGTTTGATTTTGGTATCAGCTTTTGGCATTCGTAAAGGGAATGACAGGGTACCACGGCTTGTTTGGGACCGGGTGATCATGGCTGTTTCTATGGCTGTGGTACTGTGTGAAGATTGCGTTCCAAACTGCCGACAGCAAGCACGCAACGTTTCAATCATTGCGCGACACCCGGGAAACTGAGTAGATGAAACTGAACAGCGGGCCACTCACAATACCTACCTCCCCATTACCCCCACCTCCCAAGTCCAAACCTTACATTATTGGACCGTTCCATCAAGACCTAGAAGCAAAATGTGGGAGAATGAGGTAAATCCTAGTAGCATTATATATGTAATATATATATATATATATGTATGGTAAACCCCCTCATGGACCTTGGTTTGGTGAGCTTGAGCTGCGTGTTTCCAGTGATCTATGCCTTTTTTGCCTCGTTGATTGTGTGACATTTTTTGGGGGGGGATGCCATTTGTATATGTACATGCATGCATGCATGCATACAGACAGACAGACAGACATGCATAGTACGTACATAAATACATAAATACATACGTACGTACATACATACATACATACATGTGTAATGCAAGCAAAGGTATCAACATCTGCCATCTGACCGAGACTGCATCCATCTCACAGTATTGGGACAAGGCTAGAATTGTTTACTGTTGAAACAAAATCTGGGATTCAGGATTCAAGACTCTGAGAAGAATATGTTTTGGAATATTAAATCTTGAATATTGAATCCCATATTGTTTAAAATAGACATAACAAAAAACAAGTCTGGGATTCAAGATTCAAGATTGACTATTTTTGTGGGAATCTTGAATCTTGAATCCCATAATTTTAAACGTCAAAATAACAATTCCACGGTTGTCCCAATACTCTAGGTGTTCAATACATACTTCTGCAACCAAGTATGCGAACCCATCTGCAGTCATATGCATTTAATCTGTAACCCTCCAAGTTCCCGCAATTTCTAGATTCAAAGTGAGAGGTGATTCTCGGAAAAGCGTTCTGTGAAAGATTTCAATATTGAATATTCAATCCAGTGGAAAAATACATTCGAGGTTATAGAACAACTTGAAAGCTTTTTGGGTTTAGCCAGGATTGTCGATTCTCAGGAAAGTGTTCTGTGTAATCTTCAATCTTGAATATTCCGACCAGTGGTAGAATACTTTCAAGTGCTTAGCGATCCAGTGGAAACACTTTCAAATTCTTAGTTAGACAATCTTTCAAGTGCTTTTAGTGAGCGGTTTGCTTCATGTAAGCTATGCTCATGTTGACCCTTTTCCAGGAGGTAAAGGTAGGTGCAATGCTGAAAATACTGTATTTTTCCGAATCTGTGAAGAGATGCAGGATCATGAGGGGTTCTATATGTTTGTATGTGTGTATATGTTTTAAGTTCACACACACACACACACCGTCACCCCTCCCCCCCCCCCCCGAACTATTTGTCCACCTCTGCTCATCTACTACCTTCGCCTTTTTAGATAGAATGAATTCTGGTCCAAAGAAGACTTAAATTACAGTTGATTTGGCTAGAATCCCTGTTTCGAGAGGGTTTCAGATGTTGAACCTCTTTTCCCTTGAATTTTCCATTTTGGAACACCGTCTAACAACTTCAATTTCGAACCTGTCTTATGCTACAAACAAGGCCAGAATGTAAATCACATAAATCAAATTTCGATTTTCCTTGTAGAAGTTCCTGAAGTGTTTAGCCGTATGTCATTATAGTTAAGAAGAAACTTCTATTTATTTGTTATTATTAGAAGCTAATTGAACTATGTTCGTACTATATTGTATTTAGCATTCAGATTATATTTGGGAATCAACTTCTAGCTAATTTATTTTGTTAAAGATTAGTTAGAGGTACCCCAAAATTATGTTTACCTGTTCATGTAACTCTTGTTTGGAAAGGATTTGTGTATTTAAGTTATAATTAAACCATAAACCACATTTTGGAAAGCTATATCCTTACTAAGTTATATTCAATATTCCAATTCTAGCTGAAGTAAAGTCTTATTTGGAAAGGGTACCATATTAGAACATTTCGGAAGACTCCGGCGGGCTTCAAATTGTGAGGCTTTCGGGACTCAAAACTTGAAATTTCGAGAATTTAAGTCTCTAGATTTTAGATTTATCAGCCGTAAAAGACAGTAAAACCAGGGTCCGTTGGGGGGGTGGCTTATACATATATACATATATATATATATGTATTATTACAACCATTTTTTGCGCCCCCTATCCACCGCCCATAGGGTGGCCGAAAGCCTCTACAAGATGAAACCCAGCAGCATGCTGGTTTTGTCCCGTTGGTTTCTCTTTAGGTAGCATCGTAGCGTCGCAACCGAGTCCACCAGGACTTCTTCAAGTACCTCCAGGGCGGTGGTGATCGGGTGCAAGCCATGGGCGAGTGGCGCCTCGAGCAAAAGCAGTCTGTTCGCTTGGAAAATGCAACCGCCGACAGACCTTTGCGTCAACGTTTGGTACTTTATGGTAAGCGCTTCGCGTTGCCCTCCTGGGCCAGTCCCCTTTTGGCTGGCTTTGAGGATATGACTGTGTTCTAGTTTGCCTTGAAGTGTTGTGTTAGAGTGAGTCGGAGCCGAAATGCGCGAGCGAGCTGTTTTCCAAGGTCGAGGGTGGGTGCATTTCGGCGCGTTTCCACATGGCTTCAAGGGCCAGAACGAGAGCTGCAGAGAGCTACAGAATGGCAGTGGGCTAAGGTGCAATTTCTAGGGAATTTGACTGGTTTCTAGGGGGAACTTGGCTGGTTTCCAAGGGGATTTGACCAGAGTTGGACCGCTTTTTAAAGGGGATTTGAAAAATCTAGAGGGAGTTTGGCCGGTTTCTGCTTTTGCTTCTTGGGTGTGACAAGTTTCTTGGCCGGTTTTGAGAGGGGGTTTGATTGGTTTTCAAGGTTAAGGGGGGCTCGACTGGTTTTTAGGGTTCTGGGAGGGAAATTGACCGGTTTTAACATGATTTGGCCGGTTGGACTGGTTTTGGTTTCGCTGAAGGATTTGACGGGTTTGTGGGGGAGATGTGGGGTGGGGATGGGTTTGGAAGAGGGTCTGAGCGCTTCCCGGCCCTGAGGGCCGAGGCAAATACCTTTGCCACCCTTTGCCTTTCACAATCATAGAAATCTTGTCCTGGTATTGTTCATTCACCAAGTATACTTCCCTTGGGAGGCAGCTTGCGCATCAGGATTATTTGGGGGGGCGGATGGCAAATCTAGGAAGTTTATACGCTCTAACAAGAGCTATGTTTTTTGCCCAAGTCAGCTGATTTGGGGCAATCATGGGCTTAGTTGTTCAGTGGTGGCGGGTTCCTGTCTAACTAGTTCCTGAACCTGTAAAAGGTCCATTTATTCCACGCAAGGACTGGGGTGGGCGACTACAGAAGGGCCCGAAAATGGGATGGCAAAGGAGGATCGTTTTCCCCTATTTCCTTGCCAGTTGGGGCGCAGAGGATGGCCCACCATTGCGCACCGGAAAGAAATGAAGTGCGGGCCGCCTTTTCCCCGCCTTCCCTTGTCCGCCAAGACCCAAAAGGCCCGGCGAGAACATGTCCTTGGGTGGTTGGCTCCTTTTGAGTGTTCCTTGAAAGGATCCCAACGTTGATGTTTGCCCGCTTGCTCGTTTGATTGATTTGCTTGATTTATTGATGGTTCGGATTGGATTTGGATTGGATTGGATAGCGTTGTTTGTGTGTTTGCTTGTTTGTTTGTTTGTTTGTTTGTTTGTTTGTTTGTTTGTTTTGTGTTTTTCCCCAAACAGTTTACTGTGAGGGGTTCTAAATTCATTTAAAGTGACTTGCCTATTGCCAAGCCATAGCCTGGATGCCTGGCACGGCTCTCTGGGTGGACGGGTTCATCTGTCTCCCTTTGTCTCCCTTCATTTGTCTCCCGCTGTCTCCTCCTTGTCTGGCACGGCTCTCTGGGTGGGCGGGTTCATTTGTCCCCTTGTCTCCCTTCACTTTTCTCCCGTTGTCTCCCAGCCTGGATGCCCAGATGGCTCTCTGCGTGGAAGTGTTCGTTTGTTTGCACTGTCTCTCAGCTTGGACGGGTTTAATTGTCTCCCTTTGTCTCCTTCTTGTTGTCTCCCAGCTTGGATTCTGGATGCCTGGCACGGCTCTGTGGGCGGACGGATTCATTTGTCTCCCTTAGTCTCGTGTGTTTGAGGCTCAGAAACGCGTGTCTCGCGCGCATGCGCTTGATCAAGCCACAGGCAGCATGCTGCGGATGCACGCATGAGTGCTTTAAGTGAATGATTGTGTGTTCTTGGTGTGTTCCAGCTGACCACATCTGCGCGTTCCAAGTGAACACGTTTTTTGCATGTCACCGCATGAGTGTGTTCCACGTGAACACATGTTTGTGTTCCAGGTGAAAGCAAGCGATTGTTCTGATAAAACACATGTGCGATCCGCTGAAAATTCTTAGTAAGAGAGCTTGGTCTACAGAGGCCGCCCTCGCAGTCACTTTGCAGTTTCTCATTCACACAAAGCAGAGTCCTGCAAATACCAATGGATTGCCTGCTCCCCACTGGAGGCGCTAGGATGGCGCTTGATTTGCGCTAGGGTCTTCGGTGATCTTGGTTTCCAAGAGTTGGCGCGTGGGTTGCTGCGGTAAGGGTGTACTTGAAGCCAGCCCGCACGTTTACCTTCATCTTACGTGGCCTTCATTTGTCAAATCCACACAGATGGTCGCCGTGACTCCAAAAAATACGGCGAAGCCGCCCACTAGCAAGGCGCTAGCGCAGTGGTCAGCTGTGACCGGTTCCCAGTTACGCCTCAAAGCAAATTTGCTTCCGCTCTCCTCGCATGCAATTCCCAGGGACTGCGATTTGCTGGACAAACGGGAGACAAAACGGCTGAGGCAAGAAGGCAGGGATGTCTTGTACCGAGCATACGGAAGAATAGGGTTGCGTATATCCCTGCGAAAGCAAATGCTTTACTGAATCGATACGAAGAGTTGCCACAGTACGACAAAGGCACTTTAGATCGTTCTATCGAGCAACAGATTGCTCGATACGAAAGACATTGCGCAGCCAAGCGAGAAAGAAGCGCAATGCGCTGGAAAGCGTTTGCTAAGATGAAGCCTGTAAATGCTGGAGACGCACCCGATACTGATAGTATTAGCAGTAGCAGCAGCTGCAGCAGGCTCGCGCGCTAGCAACGTGTTGCAGAATTGCTAGATTGATCGCGCACGAACACTATTTTCCTACTTTAAGAATCATATAAAACACAAGCGTTGTTCAAGGTAAAGCCCAATGAAATAGCGCCTCACAGCCGGCTTCGGGAACTTGATTTATGTGTCGCACAGGCGTGCAGAGAATGCAAACTCCATGTGAACACATTTCTGTTGTCCAGGTGAACGCATGTGTGCTGCACAATTGTGTTGCACATGTTTCTCCACATGTGCACATACGTGTGTTCCATGTCTACACATTTGTGTGTTACAAGTCAGCACAGAAGTTTGTTCTGGTTAAACATGTTTGTGCGATCCAGGTCTGCACCAGTGTTGCGAGTGAACACAAAGGCCTGTTCCAAGTGAGCGCATGTATGGGTTCCGGGTGAACACAAATGTGTGTTGCAGGTGAACGCAAATGTGCTTTCCAGACATGCACACATATGTGCTCCAGGTGTACGCATGTGTGTATGTGTGTTCCAGGAACACATGTTTGTTATCAGACGAACACGCGTGTGTGAGTGCGCGTGTCCCGGGTGTGCATATATGCGTGTACACATATGTGTTCCACGTGTACACATTTGTGTGTTCACGTGTGCACACATGTGCGTTCCAACTGGACACCTGTATGTGTTCCAGGAGAACACATGTTTGTTATCAGACGAACACGTGTCTGCTCCGCATGCGCATGTATGTGTGTTCACGTGTACGCATATGTGTGTTCCACGTATACACATTTGTGTGTTCAAGTGTGCACACATGTGCGTTCCAACTGGACACGTGCTTGCGTTCCAGGAGAACACATGTATGTAGTCAGATGAAAGCGTGTGTGTGTGTGTGTATAGGTCCGCTCCGCGTGCACATGTGTGTGTGTTCAAATCTACACATATGTGTGTTCCACGTGTACACACTTGTGTGTTCACGTGCACACGCATGTGTGTTCCAATTGGACACGTTTGTGTTTCTGGTGAGTACATGTTTGTTATCAGATGAACGCACATGAGTGTGTGTTCCGGGTGCATATATATATATATATTATTTTACACACTTCTGTGCTCCAACTAGACACGTGTTTGTTTTCCAGGAGAACACGTGTTTGTTATCAGATGAATACTCGTGTGTGTGTGTGTCTGCGTTTCTGCGTGCACATAAATGTGTGTGTTCACGTGTGCAGCACACGTGTGTGTTCCCTTGTGCACATGTGTGTGTTCACGTGTGCACATGTGTGCGTTCCAACTGGACACGTGTATGTGTGCCAGGAGAACACATGTTTGTTATCAGACGAACACGTGTCTGCTCCGCATGTCTGTTCCACGTGTACACATTTGTGTGTTCAAGTGTGCACACATGTGCGTTCCAACTGGACACGTGCTTGTGTTCCAGGAGAACACATGTATGTAGTCAGATGAAAGCGTGTGTGTGTGTATAGGTCCGCTCCACGTGCACATGTATGTGTGTTCAAATCTACACATGTGTGTTCCACGTGTACACACTTGTGTGTTCACGTGTAGACGCATGTGTGTTCCAATTGGACACGTTTGTGTTTCTGGTGAGTACATGTTTGTTATGAGATGAACGCACGTGAGTGTGTGTTTCGGGTGCAAATATATATGTGTATATATATATATATATATGTATTTGTGTGTTCACGTGTACACACTTCTGTGTTCCAACTAGACACGTGTTTGTGTTCCAGGAGAACACGTGTTTGTTATCAGATGAATACTCGTGTGTGTCTGTGTTTCTGCGTGCGCATAAATGTGTGTGTTCACGTGCGCAGTACACGTGTGTGTTCCCTTGTGCACATGTGTGTGTTCACTTGTGCACGTGTGTGTCTCCCACGCGTACACATATATGTTTGTTCACTTGTGCACACACGTGTGTTCTTATCATACAGGTGTATGTGTTCCAGGTGAACACGTGTTTGTTATCAGATGAATACTCGTGTGTGTCTGCGTTTCTGCGTGCACATAAATGTGTGTGTGTGTTCACGTGTGCAGCACACATGTGTGTGCTCACGTGCGCACATGTTTGCGTTCCAACTGGACACGTGTATGTGTTCCAGGAGAACACATGTTTTTTATCAGACGAACACGTGTCTGCTCCGCATGTCTGTTCCACGTGTACACATTTGTGTGTTCAAGTGTGCGCACATGTGCGTTCCAACTGGACACGTGCTTGTGTTCCAGGAGAACACATGTATGCAGTCAGATGAAAGCGTGTGTGTGTGTATAGGTCCGCTCCGCGTGCACATGTATGTGTGTTCAAATCTACACATATGTGTGTTCCACGTGTACACACTTGTGTGTTCACGTGTAGACACATGTGTGTTCCAATTGGACACGTTTGTGTTTCTGGTGAGTACATGTTTGTTATCAGATGAACGCACGTGAGTGTGTGTTTCGGGTGCAAATATATGTATATATATATATATATATGTATTTGTGTGTTCTCGTGTACACACTTTTGTGTTCCAACTAGACACGTGTTTGTGTTCCAGGAGAACACGTGTTTGTTATCAGATGAATACTCGTGTGTGTCTGTGTTTCTGCGTGCGCATAAATGTGTGTGTTCACTTGTGCAGTACACGTGTGTGTTCCCTTGTGCACATGTGTGTGTTCACTTGTGCACACATGTGTGTTCTTATCATACAGGTGTATGTGTTCCAGGTGAACACGTGTTTGTTATCAGATGAACACTCGTGTGTGTGTGTTCCACGTGTACACATATGTGTGTTCACGCGTGCAGACATGTGTGTTTTAATTGGACACGTGTTTGCGGTTCAGGAGAACACACGGTTGTTATCGGATGAGCACGCTGGTGTGTGTGCTCCGGGTGTGCATTTATGAGTGTCACGTGTGCACCTATGTGTGTTCACGTGTACACATGTGTGTTCCACGTGTACGCACATGTGTGTTCCACGTGAACACATTACTAACTGCTAGGTAAACATTTTTGCATCTGACGACATATTTGCTCTCCAGGTGTACACAAGTCTGTGCTCCAGAAAACGCATGATTGTTTTCGAGGTGCGCACATGTGTGTGTGTGTGCGCGCGCTTTAGGTGAGCATTTATGTTTGCTCACGCGTGCAAATATGTGTGTTCCACATGTGCACACATGTGTGTTTTAATCGCACACACGGTGTTCCTTGACACATATTTGTGTTCCAGTGGTATACATATGTACACGCATGTGTGCTTTAATTGCGTGTGTTTGTGTTTCAGGTGAACACACGTGTGTTCCACGTACACACATGTGTGTCTGAATTGGACACGCGTTTCATTGTGTTCCAAGTGAACTCATGTGTCTTCCACGTGAACACATTAGTGTGTCGTAGGTGAACATATATGTGTGTTCCAGGTGTACACATGTGTGTGTGCTTTACAAGAAGCACACGTTGGTTTTCCAGCTCAACACATGTATGCGTGTACCGCAGGTGAATGTATATGTGTGTGTTCACGGGTGCACATCTGCGTGTGCCGCGTGTACTGTTGCAGTCGTATACATATGTGTGTTCCACATGTACTCACACACATGATTGAATTGGACAAGTGTGTCTGAACTGCCCATGTGACCGCGCGCTTGCGCAGCCACACTTGCAATCGCGCGCGCTCGCCTGCTATCGCACGCGCTTGCCCAACCTCAGTTCCTGCGCGGCGCTGCAGCGTGAAGCACGCCAGCAACACACGTGCAGCAACGCAACGCGTGCCGGGTTCACGGCTGCATGATTTTGATTCATCCGCGTTGAAGCGCAGAAAGCCACAAGATGCCACAAGCTGTTGGCATGTTTGCGCTCGCCCGCCTTCTGCCATGGCGGGGTTCCCTGAAAATCTGACGTCCAGTGTTCAGGCGGTTTTGTTGTGATGGGAACCGTAGTCTATCTCCTCCAAGTGGAAGTTCACTGCTTAGGTGCAAGTTCGGCGCCTTTGATGCGGACAACCTGGCGGATATGGATGAGGAGATTAAAGAAACAAGAGGGAAGATGCCTGGGTTTCTCAAGGGAAGTCTCTACATGTCCTGTTGGACGATGGTTTGTCAGGTTTTTTTTTGCGAGAAGATGTGGTTTATTCAAATCTAGGGTGGCTAAGATCTCGGTGCAACACACAGACCGTGAAAGCTGGGGATTATTTTGTGCGAATATTTTTGGAACACAGTTGATGGTCTTTGCAGTGTTCATCAGGCTCATGTTGGTTCAAGCGTCGCTTCAAACAGAGTCAGCGGCCCTATTATCTTCCCACTAGTATGAATCAATAACCACGGGGAACAAGCTCCCAAGGAGGTTTTGGTTTCAGCTTGCACGGTAGAAGGAGAAAGGACAACTCTTTCCAATGGCCAGCCGTCTGCCTTGATGTCTGCATGAGATGAGCACAAACACAAGAGACAAGGGGCTTATGTTGTTTATTTGTTTTGTTGTTGCTGCCTTTATTGTGTTCTTCTTTCTTGTTGTTTTTCTTGTTTTCTTTCTTTCTGTATTATTGTATTTTCTTTATTTATTTGTTTCTTTATTCCCCAAACAGCGAAGCATTGGGGTTCTAACTTGAGGTATAGAGAATGGGAAAGTGTGACGCCGGCTCCGGGGTCGTGTCTGCCGCTTGTCTTTCTGTGTCTCCCAGTCTCTGCGGTCAGATGCCAGAGGCTGTGACGCCGGCTCCGGGGTCGTGTCTCCCGCTTGTCTCCCTGTGTCTTTCAAAGTCTCTGCGGTCAGACGTCAGATGCTGTGACGCTGGCTGCGCGGTCGTGTCCCGCTTATCTCCCTTTGTCTCCCAGCCTCCGCGGTCAGACGCCAGGTGCTGTGACGCTGGCTCCGGGTCGTGTCTCCCGCGTGTCTCCCTGGGTGGTGTCTCTCGCTTGTCTCCCTCGGTCTCCCAGCCTCTGCGGTCAGATGCCAGATGCTGTGACGCCGGCTCCGGGGTCGTGTCTCCCGCCTGTCTCCCTGTGTCCCAGTCTCTGCGTGCTGTGTCTGGTCACCCTCTCTGCGGTCAGACGCCAGATGCTGTGACGCTGGCTGTGGGGTCGTGTCTCCCGCTTGTCTCCCTCTCTGCGGTCAGATGCTAGATGCTGTGACGCCGGCTCCGGGGTCGTGTCCCGCTTGTCTCAGTCTCTGCGGTTGGCTGTTTGTTTAATGCTTACAGCCCTGAACACGGTCCCGGGGAGAACGAAAGCTGCTTTTTTTCGCAAATATTAAAACTGACCTTGCTTGCTGCCAGCTGGCTGTTTTCCTGCTTACAGCCCTCAACAGGAAAAATGAAGGTCCCTCAAGCTATAGATTCGACAAGTCAGGGAAAGGGCATGTCGTAGATTTTGCTGTTAGCCTGTGTGCAAAGGATGTGCCTCTCCTTGGCCAAGCGCAGGTTTGCATCCTTGTGGAGCATCCTTGGAGCTCGAAGCAAGCAATGTCGAGCCTCGATTAAAAAAACAAATCGTGACATCCGGCTGATTGCTTAGCTCAGGAAACTGAGCTTCTTTTTAGAAGCCAGTGCCGCACTTCTTGGTCAAGTGCAGGTTCGCATCCATCAGCAGGGCCCTGTCGAGCCTTTAATATGTCTATGTTTCTCGATAAAAACAAATATATAGTGACATCCGGCTGATTGCTTTTTGGAAGCCAGTGCCGCACTTCTTGGCCAACTGCAGGTTTGCATCCTTGTGGCGCATCAGCAGAGCCCTGTCGAGCCTCAAATATGTAGACTGGTTTCGATAGGCAAATACGGCTGATACTGAGCTGCTTTTTGGAAGCCAGCACCGCACTTCTTGGTCAAGTGCAAATTTGCATCCTTGTGGCGCATCAGCTAAGCTCTGTCCAGCCTTAAATGCTTGGCCAAGTGCAGGTTTGCATGCTTGTGGCGCATCAGCCGAACAAATACCTTGACATCCGGCATACTGAACTGCTTTGTAGAAGCCAGCGAGGCACTTCTTGGTCAGGCGCAGGTGACCTTCTGGCGCATCAGCAGAGCCCAGCCAAGTGGCCGTTTGCGTCGCATGAGCAGAGCCCAGCCAAGTGGCCTTAATTGACTGGTTTGCATCCTTCTGGCGCTTCAGAAGAGCCCAGCCAAGTGCCAAGTGGCCGTAACTGACTGGTTTGCATCCTTGTGGCGCATCAGCAGAGCCCAGCCAAGTAGCCAAGTGGCCTTAACTGACTGGTTTGCATCCTTGTGGCGCACCAGCAGAGCCCAGCCAAGTGGCCTTAACTGACTGGTTTGCATCCTTGCGGCGCATCAGCAGGGCCAGGTTTGCATCGTTGTGGCGCATCAGCAGAGGACTGGTTTGCATCCTTGTGGCGCATCTGCAGCAGAGCCCAGCCAAATGGCCGTAACTGACTGGTTTGCATCCTTGTGGCGCATCAGCAGAGCCAGTGGCACTAGCAAGTAGCACCAGCAAATGGCGCTAGCGAGTTGCAGTAGTGAGTTGCACTAGGAAGTTGCAGTGTGTTGCGGCAGGCGCTGCGCGCAGAGAGCTTGCTCAGACAACTTGCTCATTGAAACTTGTTCAGAGAAAGTTGCTGAGAGAACTTGCTCAGAAAATTTGTGCCAAGAACTTGCCTGGAGAACTTGCTCAAAGGAACTCGCGCCAACAACTTGCGCAGAGGAACTTGCGCAGAGAACTTGCTAGGATTACTTGGCGCCGCGCTCTGCTCATGCTTTCGGGCCACCCGTCTTCTAGTCCCCTCTTGGTAGCATCGCTGTAGTTCGAGCACCCTTTCTTGTTGGCAGTCCTGTTGTAAACCTTGCCTCCTATCTTGTTGCCAGTATTTAGCACCTTCTGTTGGATAGCCATGTGCCCCGGCCAAAATCATATCTATACAGTCTTTCGCTTCGCTAGCTGGTTCTGCAACGCTTTTTCCTCACCTATGTAATCCAGTCCCACTGGCAAACGCATTTCGCTGAAGCATTATCACACCTTCGTGATGGCAAGGTCGCAGCTTTGACATGTCTCGTTGCCTCTTGACAGAAGGGTTGAAGACAGATTTCTCTTCCGCAATATGGACGCTGCTGTTTTGCACGTGTCCGAAAGTGCCAGGGCTTGCAAGCGCGAGGGCTCAAGGGCTTTCATGGCGGGACGTCGTAAGGTGCCATTCTCTGAGGCGCTAGCTTCCCTACAGTCTCTGGACCCATGGAATACCAAAGGGGTCAACGTGAGCTGTATTGCATGGCGCTTGTGCTAGCCTCCCGCAGTGAGTATTTTTGGAAATCCGAGCAATTCCATTTCATTCTCGCAATCAACGTTCTTTTCCGAGATCTCGACTTGAGTTTGGCAGCTCCGGGCGAGATTCTGATTTACTTGCTCGCAGCATACGTGGCTTGTCGGGAAACCAAGCTGGAGGGATGTGCTGATAGCATCAAGACCAACACGTGCTACAGACATGGCCCATCCATTTCTTCTTTGACGACACAGCTTCGCCTCCACTACGCCTTGAACATCGATTCCGAGCGTGGCGAACTCCCCAGCAACATACGGAATACTTGTCGAGTTCTCCTCGAAAAACTTGGTTGATGCATAGGAGCTCCTGGCAACCCACTTTGCTGACCTTGACAACTTGGAAAGAGTTCACGAACCCGGCCAGTTGATTACAGTGCTGCTGGAGCTGAGTGAACGCAAGGCCCAGAAGTTGTTGCCAGCGGCGTGCGTTGGAATGACGGCCGCCGGTCGTTCACCACACTTGTGAACACCAACCTGCAAATCATAAGCACCAACTCCAAGATGAAACCGGCCAAGCTGGTGGTGTCCACTGTGCAGCCAGCATTGGTAAGTTGGGGCAAAGTTCTCACTGTCACACGCTTCCGAGATGGAGCAGGGCTGGGGCTGACGTTCAAAGCCAAGCTTGTTCCAGAATGGAGCGGCGTTGGGCGCATGGAGCAAAGCCATGCTCCCAAGAGCGGCGCGCTGGGCACCTTTGCTGACGCTTGCCAATTTGGCGCGGCGTGTGTCTGCGTTGCTAAGCGAGGATGTCCCGGCCGTAACGTTGTGGCAAGACGTTTAGCCGAGCTCGAGAAGAAGATAGCAACCAGAAGTGGCATGTGTCCAGTCTCGGCCGCAAGCTGCTGAGCATGAGCAGAGTAGCGAGACGGCCACCAAATGCTGCGGTGATGGAAAAGTGCATTGAGTGTCCGTACTACGAAAGTTCTGTCGAAACTTCCTTTGATTACTGCCAGGTGCTAGGTTGATTCACCCCGAATCCCCGGGGCCTTCACTCTCGAACATGGCGTTGACATGGAATTGTCTCCTCGAAGTCGATGAACAACATCAATGCTTTTACCCGGCGTCAAGGAGATGGGTGGACCCGATGTGTCCTCGTCTCAAACAAGGGGACTTCCTGCAGGGACATACATGGGCTGATTGTAACTATGTGTTGCTCACATAGTTTGGGGCCGAGGCTGGTGTAATTTATTTCTTTATTTTCTTATATTTGTCTTTCTTTCTTTATTTCTTTCTTTATTTCTTTATTTATTTATTTATTTATTTCTTCTTTCCCTTTTCTTTTCGTTTCTTTATTTCTTTTCTTCGTTTGTTCATTCGTTTTTCCTGCGATATTTACGATGCTTTCTGTGCAGCTAGCCTGTCCAGTGTGACTCTCTTTCCAGAATTCCAGTCAGCTGTATCTACAGTATCGCTTCAAAATACAAGCCTCTAGCTGAATCAATGGTTTCCTTGTCATGGGATGCCTGCGGAGCGTGAGGGGGCAGCAGCATTGACTGAATCGTGTTGGGAAAGATGCGCAAGACGTCAGGACGACTGATGATATCTACGCTGACTTGCACTTGCAGGGGAGTGAGCGTGAAATCCCATCGCAACTTTGTTCTATTTGCATTTAGTCTGGCGTGCTAATGTGCAGGGCCAGTTGCTGGCCGACACAGCAAGCGAGCCGAAAAAGATGTCTGGTACCCACGGTTTTCCGCTCGGTTGGCTCCAGTGGCTCCAGTGCCAGCGTGCTGTTTGTCAAACCCATTGGCGCAATGGTTGCTTCCTGGCCAGACCCAGAGGTCTAAGCAAATGTGCACTTATGAGGCTAGCTCATAGTGAGCAGTTCTTAAGGTATACAAACACCTACGCCCCTGAGGCGCACATGTAACTTATCATGATATTTTCAGTGTGCACCATTTCATGATGTTGACCTGATATCGACCTGCCAGTTCTTCCATTTTCTGCTGATGCGACCTTGTGCGTCAAGCTACTTTGATTCGACATGGGTGAGGTGTTTTTGTTGAGGGTACCCTTTTCACCAAAAGGAAAAGCACGATTGGGGGGGCCTTTTGGTTAAGGGTACCCTTTTCACCAAAGGAAAAACACGATTTTCGAGGTCCTTCTGGTTTAGGGTACCCTTTTTCACCAAAAAGAAAAAAACACGATTTGGGGGGGGGCCTTTTGGTTAAGGGTACCCTTTCACCAAAGGAAAAGACAATTTTCGGGGCCCTTTTGGTTTTGGGTACCCTAAAAGGAAAAACACGATTTGCGAGGCCTCAACACACACATACCCACATCCGGATCGCCTTTCCCGACTGCCAGGTGGCCATCCTGAGCCTTGGCTCGCCCTGTCTCTTCTCCTTCTATCCGCGCTCTGGCACAGAGGCGCGCTGAAATCGGGCACAGGCACTCGGGAAAGGTCTGTGTCCAATTGCGCGTGTGGAGAAGTAGGGGAGCACACGAATGGTTGGTTTCTTGATTTCTCTCGAAACAGCCATGGGTCGCTGTTTGGGGCTCTCACTTACGCAAGGCGTGTGTGGGTTTTGATTCAGTTGTGGATTGGCTTCATGATGGCTTAATGGCCGGTATACATCATATATATATATATATGTACATAATATGCACATATATATATACACATGTTATGTGTTTGATGGTCACCTCAGGCAAAGAGAAGTTCAGTATAGTCCAGTATAAGGCCATCAATGGTTTGCAGATGTAGTTTTTCGCTGTACAACGGATCGGAGTGACTTTACCCATGTTGACGGCTCTGTGGGAAGCCCTTATTTCAGTTTTGGAAAACCCAGGGTTGTGCTCCCAAAGTTGGCCAATGTCCCACGTCAAGCGGAGGTGCTCTAGGACTCTAGGAGAAGGCCTTTCGCTACTGCAGCCAGACGGAAATCTGCGCCTCTCAAGACAAGTAAGTTGCCGAAGGACCTGCAAAGAGGGTTCCCTCACATGTCACATCTACCTGGATTATTCCCGGGACAAGACGATACTTCGGGGTTCCGCAGTTCTTTTAAGGCTATTGGACCCTTAATTATTTTGAGGGGAGCCTCATTTTAGGAGTCACCCCTATGTCCGCCAGTTTCATCATTTGGAACGTCACTTCTTGGTTTCCTCTGGATTCCCTTCAAACAACGAATTGTTTTGAACTTGTTCACCAAGGGGAAGGCGGTGCGCCCTTCGCCCCATGAGGCTGGTTGTGTGTTTTGCCCAACATTGGAGCAGCCCCACCCCCTGTTTGATTCGCATGGAATCCAAACATAATTTTCGTCCATTCTCGAAGGCAGCGGAGGGAAGCCAAGCAACGCCTCGAGAATGGCCCAGGACTGCATGAAGTGGGATCCGGCCAATGACGTGCCGGGCGGCTTCGAGGCCTGCACAGCAACCGGCGCTCTGGGGATGTTCAATGGGGAACCTAATGGTTTTTGGGTCTCCTTTTCGACTTCCAACACTTGGAAACTTGTTGGCTTCAAAATGAGTGTTGCTCAAATGAACGGCTCCGAAACACGATTGGTCGATCCCTTAGTTAAGCACAGGGGGGCCATTTGGTTCCTTTCGGTTTCACTGCAAGCGGGGGGTGTCCTAACATGGGGTCGGTTTCGCCGATCTTTGGAAATAGTCCTGTGTTGGGTGTCCGTCATGTGTGCTGTTCCCAATTGTGTGCATGTGAAGTTTCTCCTTGGATTGGTCACAATCCAATTGGGGTGTCGCCTTAGAACACAAGCAAGCCGCCAACCAAGGTCCACAGCAGCCCTAGCAAGCGACTATCGGGGCATGTTCAACACGATGTGTTTTTGACTTCCCGTCGTGGATCCTACGCGTTGCATTCACCGCTGCAATTTGATGCAACCTGTAGCTTGTTTGGCGAGAACTATTGCAGCAATGTTCGGGCAAAATGTATGCTGTATGACCAGCCGTTCAAGCGTGAGATGTTTTCGGCAAGGGTGAATAGCCATCCGGAGGTATGGACAGTGCTTTGCACCGCTGTTCTCACAAACCGTACTGCAACAGGGGCCAACACGTGACTGCTTTTACAGTCTTCCACCTCTTAATCGTTTGACGAATGACAGTTTCGCCACATACCAGCCAAATCTTCAGCGGGACCCAAAGCCAGCAGAAGGAGCAAGAGCTGCATAGAGTCAGCCCCACGCGTCAGGGCAATCAGTCTGCCATGAACACTCTCTTCGTGGAGCCAAGGACGGTGGTTTGAACAGTGAGCTCCAGTAGCCCGCGCTTTGTCCGAACCATAAAGAGTGTTACCTCCCCCCTTCCCGCCCGAGGGCAAATCGAGAGTACCCACTAGTCATTGAGAGGGGGATATATATATATATATATATATATATATGTACATACCCCTTGCGTTCTTGCTACTGACGTTGGGGGAATGGAGAACATCCAAGAAACCACATGCTCAGAGCATGTGGGGAATGAGGCAATCAGGAACCTGACAGAGGTTTGGCTACCCGTCTTGCCTTTGCACGTGTGCTTGCTCGAGTGGCATGTTTGTCACCAAAGCTAGCTGCGCCAGCGGGAGTTTCTTTGGGGTAGCCCTTGCTTTACCGCCCACCCCGGATGACGTCTCATCGTTTCTTCATGCAGATTGCTCGGCACTGCTCTTTGAACTTCTCATCCGCTCCTCGCGCCGCTCTTTGTTCCCTCTCTTCCCTGTTTTCTTTTGCGCATAGATCCCGGCCCCATTTGCTTCATGCTTCTTCTTGAAACCTTGCCTGTGCTCTTCTCCCTGCTCTTCACTTTGAGTTTTGCCCCCCAATCAGATTCTTGCTCCTCTTCTCGCTGCCTTGAGCTTTTGTCGAGTTTGCCCTTCTCTTCTGCGAGCTTGTTGCTCCAAACCTTAATCATAATGATTGCCCGTTGCAAATTGCATTTTCTTGCGTTATCAAGTGAATTTACCAGCTTCGCTTGTATCCGTCCACCATCTCTCTCATCCTTTGCGGTGCTTGCCGTTTGCATGTCTCAGGTGACAAGTTCTCTCACATGAACAACTGGTTTGGTAGCCTCCTGTTTGCTTGGCAAGGGGCTGCTTCCCAGTTAGCGACACGTGTCACTGAAACAGGTCCAATGAGCTGCATGTTTGACAACCCCCCACGGCGCGCTTTTTGCTCGGGTACAAGCGCCGCGTTCACTGCTGGGCACCAGTCGAATCTGCCAGGAGCCTGCTGGTGTTCAGACCGGGGCTCAAGTGCTTTGTCAAATGCCTGATCCGGGCCCGTTTTGTTGTGTTTGAAAGGCAATCACCACGAGATACTCCCGGAAGGGGTGCCTGGGCGATTTCTCACATGGTCACAAGTCCATTGCTGGATGGGGTTTCTGCAAAATTTTGAGAGCCTGCGCAGATTGCTGGCACACGTATGGGTTCCTGCCCGACAAACAACAGTCCAAGCAGTTTAAGGAATCACGCGTCAAAGCTTATAGCCAAGGAAAGGCCAGAGCCCCGGTTTCGTTGGTGGTGTTGGGTCCACTTGGAGGGTCCTACTCACAAGTCTAGTGGAAAGGAACAAGCCAAATAGAAGGATTTTGATCCATCTTTCAACGGTCAAAGTCGTTTTGGGATTGCCTTTCTATTGCCTTTCTCTTCAGCAAACGAAAGGCCAAGGACCGACTTGATAACAAAAACAACCCGCCCCAGCAGCTTCAAGCGCCCAGATGCCTTGAACCAACCGCAGCCTTCCCAGTGCCCAAGCTGGGCCGCGTTCAGCCCGCACGGCCCGCCTCCGCTCGTTGGGGAACCGCCGTGCAGGCGACTCAGAGCGCCCTGCGTTTTCTGGCAGCCCTGCAAGCGCTCTGCGTTTTCAGTGGTCCGTACACTTCTCTTCTGGGTAGTGTTTAAACATGCACGCGGTTTCACAGTGAGCTTGCTCGTGGACAGGGTGCATAGGAGGAACCCCGGCTTTTGGTTTTTTTGTTGGCCTGGTCGACTCCGGTGTACTCCAATGGTCCAATCGAGTCGGCCCTGATTCCGGGGGTTACAATTTTTGAGGGTACCGTTTTCGGGGTTGTGGTGGAACTCAAGGGACACTCTACCCATTTGGCCATGGGTCAAAACCAATGGTACCATTTTGGGGTAGGTGCACCACCGATATTTAGTCTATTTAGTGGGGATTGGGATGTTGGCTGGGGGTGCAGGGTTTTGACCCACAGCCATTTGGGAACGCATGTCCTGTAGGCAACGCATTTGCTCGAGTCCTCTCTTTGCCCAGGCCATGCTGGCTCGTGAGATCCCCAGAGCCGCATCTGTTGGCCGGAAACGAGCTACAGGGCAATTGCCCAAGGCCAATCGACCGGTCCATGTTTTGGCAGCCAGTTGTTTGTCAAGTGAACCCAAACGTCGATCACAATGTATTTCCAGGTCCTTTGACTGCAGTCGAGGAGCTGGAGAAAGCCTTTGTCGTTCCCCAACGTGTTCCCGTTGCCGAAGCCAAATCTGATGAACAGCCGGGGCCGCTTAGAAACAAATGTGTTTCCTTGGAGGACCAACTGCCAACGTACAGCCAGTTCCATTTGCAACTCCGGGAGGTGCGCCATGCGGTGGATAACTGTCCGAAGAAGAAATAGTTGATAGGTAGAATTCCCGGTCAAGTTGTGCAAGGATGCAATGCCTCTAGACTTGTCCAAACATCCGCTTCATGTAGGACTCCCAGCAGGTTCCCCAGCATTGCCTTTTGTTGTCGAATATCAATTTCCAGAGAGGACTTGGCTTAAGTTGTTTGTTTGGTGAGCGATGGATGGCTATTGATTTCTTGGAACACGGAGCACGACTTCTTGGCAAAGCAGCTGAGCTTTAGAGGACGCAGCTTAATTTATTTGGAGGCGGATCTTCAAGGGAGATGTTTTGTGTCCACTTGCCATAGGCTGCAGCGTTGTGCAGAGAGTGGTCACTTGAACCTTACGCAGCAATGAAATCTATTTTGCCCCATGCGAATCGACTGATCTGATCGTATTGTTCCATGGAGAGAGCCAATTTTAAGTCACCACAACCCCAAAATCATCGCCTGTTATTTCAGGTTCCATTAGACGTTGGTATCTACACACTGGCCTTGCAGCTTTCCAAGGTCAGTCGTTTGCAGCAGTTGCGCGCTCGGTTTCTTCTTTCGGAGATCTTAGGGACAGCGAGGGACTCGCAAAGGTTCTCAAAAATCCACCATAAAGCTGATCAGATGCAGAGTCTCAGGGCGTTTGAAAGGGTGGAATGTTGGTTTTCCGCGGGGAGTGGCAGTGAGAGCTATAAATCTTGCAACCTGCCACGGTCTTGCCTCGAGCGCCCAGCATTTGAGGCCCGAACTGCTGCGGCAAGCTGAGTCACCGAGATGACGGGATGTATCGCAAGCTCCGCTCCGTTGGGCTCAAGAAAAGGACTGTCAACCCTTTGAGAGGGATGTCCTCCCTACCTTTTCACATCGTTTGTCATGCGGTTCGGTGTCAAGTTGTTTTGGACCAGTCATGAGTTGGGCAAAAGCTGAGGAAGTTGGAGGGGTCGAGGAAGGCATGACCACCTGGCGGCGTTTAGACCGTGACGCATGCGTTCTTCTCTCATGGCAGGATGCGTCAAATCCAGAGTCCACTGCGGATTGGGCACGTTGAAGGTGTTTCGCCTGGTCTGCTGAACGTACTTGCGCAAGGTCAACTTCAGATGAATCCGGAGGACCATACTATACCAATGTAAATATGTTTGCCACTCAATAGGAAGTCACCCCTGGCCCCTGACGGGTACCGTCCTCCAGATTAGTCTTAAGTTGATGTTAGAAGTTCAGATTGCCAACTAGAGCAGCTGTTTCTGTCCACATTTGAGAACTGGAATCATGTGTGTGTGTGTGCTTTTTGTTGTGGTGGGAGAGGATACATGTTTAGCTCCTCTGGCTGTTGCTCTAAGTGGCGCTTGATTGTCAACACTTTTTCGAAGACAGCGTCCATCGGTTTCAGGTTGAATTCCTGTCCAACAGAGGCCGCCCCAACCGAACAGACCCAAGACAGCTTGTCTTAAAATAGGAAGAGGAGCCCCAAAATGGTTAGCTTTGGCTCCCGTTATGTTCCCGTTGAACCCCAAACAGGATATCATGCCTTTAGACCCGCAGAATGGGACTCCTTTTTGGTTTTTCTTCTTTGAAGGATGGCCCTTTCCACCCACATGGAATCAGAGCATGTCCCATGTTCCTCAGCTGGTCTCATTTGGACCTTCGCAGAGGCCAGGGCCTTCCGCAGCAGTGCTGTGCGCCTCTCGGAGGCCCCTGAGATTCGGGAGTCCCTGCTTTGCACACGGAAGTCGTTTGTTTGTTGGGCCGGGGGGGTTGGGAACTGGCCGTTCGCCTTAGGAGACGCCAACAGGGTTTCAGGCTCCATGCCTTTTAGCGGCGCTTGAAACCCCAGGGCCCGCCCTGCGGCACGGCCTGCGCCACGCCGACCAAGTGTGCGCCGGAGAGCACCGCAAAGGACGGAGCCTTCAGCCGGGCGAAGCCGCGGAGCCAGTCGATGGGCCAAATCCTCTCTGCGCGCGCCGGGCATGAAACCCTTGGGATGAACCACCTTGGTGCAAAGTTGACTTTGTCCATCCACTGAAGGTTGAATGGAAGCAACTATTTCCAGTTTCTGACTTGAAATGCAGGTCGGTCCAGTACTGAGTCAGAGCAGCAAGGGGTGAAGCATGCCAGATACTTACCATGTTGTAAAGACAAGCAACAAAACAATCCTTGGTTTTCGATTGATCACAAGGATACCTTAGCAAAACGAAAAGAGACCCAACAACGGGGTGGCCCCCAACAGCCAACAGGACATTCCTTTGCAAATGCTGTTGTTTCAGGTTCCTTCCATTCATTTGGAGCTTCAGTCTTGCGGTTGGGAGGTCCACCAGTCTGAGGCAACCAGCCATCCCAAAAACAAGGGAGCCCACTGCTTGTGACGTCTTCGAGGCAGACATCGCGCACAAGGCGGTCGGCAGTGCTGGCGCGACCTACGGGCGCCCTGAGTCGGTCGTGAGCTGTTCCAATTCGCAAATGCTCCCCCTCTCCAACAGTGCTTCCTCCATTTCCCTTTGTGGAACCTGCAAAAGTGGCGATGGTTTTAATAGAAACCACTCGTACTTTGATCAACTTAAGGGGAAATCCAGTCCGCTGTCCAACAACCGTGGAAAAGCTGACAGGAGGGGTTTGGAGAACTTCTTTCCTTTGGCGATGCCACTCGTGCACGTCCATGATTGTTCGAATTATGGTAATTAATCTTTGTTTCGTGGCTGGGATTGTGGATTCGCGTTGGCCGCTCCATAGTGCGATCCCAAAAGTGATGGTTTGCCCAAGGCAAAACATGTACCCTCGAAACAGACACACACACACACAGAGATACGAATAAGATAGTGATAATCAAAGTGTGTGTGTGTGTGTGTGTGTTGTGTTGACAGCATTCAATGAGGCCTTCAGGATAGCGAGCAGATTCAGGACGCGACGTATCCCCGCACTTGCCACGGTTCCCATGTTGCTGCTCAACAGGTAGTTTCGAACATCACCTTTTGGTAATGCCAAATTCAAGTCAAGGTGGGATGCTTTTGAGGGATATTGAAACACTGAATTGTCAAAGTTCCTTCATGACTGGGTACTTTCCGGGAAGCTCTTGGGTAACGTCCCCAGCCAATGGGCTGTCTGAGATCGGTCCCCTTTCGATCCCTTTCCTCAGCATCAAGCCGCTCCGATGGCTCTCATTTGGATTTGGAAGCCATGAACAGTTTTTGGCTCCTTTGCCTCATCTTGGGCTTCACCGTAAACGACGCTCCTTGTCTTCTTCGAGCCAGACAGGTGTTCAACGGGTGTGAGGGAAGTGCCTTTTTTGCAGAATCAAGGAAAGCCGTACTAGTGTGGGTCTTTTGAGGCAGACCTTTGCGTACCCTTATTTTTTGGTCCAGACGTGCATGATCCGTAACACGTGGCCTTAACACTGTGGACTTCCCCAAGTGGTTGCTGCAGTTCCAGCAACCGCCCAAACTTCTTCAGATTGTGATGCCCTCCTCCGAAAGGTGTTGCCTGCATGGGCATGACGGGTTGGTTCCCGCTTCTGTTGTATCAAGGTGACCTCTTCTTCTGGAGAATTCCTTGAGGCGCCTTTCTAATTCGTACGCCAGTACTGGGTTTGTCTAAGATTATGGGGCAGGAACGCCCCAAATGGGTTGTCCCTGGTTCCCAAAAGAGGCCCGCCCATGCGGCGACAGTTTCCATGAGGTACTCCAAGAAGTTCGCGGAAGGCTGGGACCGGATTTTTGCCAAGGGCGCCTCGGCAGCGAGTTCAATGCCTTGGCCTTTCGTCAAACATTCGAAGTGCACAGCTCCTTTTCCAAGCCCCAGCGGAATTGGCCGGCGCCCATGAAATTGCCATGTTTCGAGGTCCAGCCAAACACAGCAAATAAAGACCCCCGTTTTTGGGCCGTGGCTCATCGACTGCTCAAGGTCAAGAATCCGCAGCTGGGAAGAAGGACGACTTGTGTGACATCAGTTGAGCCAGGCACAGTCTAGGCGGCCAGAGAGCCAGGCGGCCAGGCTGCACCGTTGGTGACTTGGATAGGAAGCTTCAGATGGGGTGAGAGCTGTTGGCTTCAAGCCTTCGCGTGTCGCCAGGACCTTGAGAGCTGAGGGAGTGATCAAGGGTTTCACCTCTGGGAGCCAAAGCTCCTTGGGAGCTTTCCCAACAAACCGAGCAGTGCGTTAAAACAGGGCGGTTGGCAGCTCCTGTGTCTCATGCCTTGGTTCTTGGAATGCTGGTTGTGGGCAAGTGTTGGTTTGAGGCTGATACTTCTGTGAGCGTCCCGGCAAGAAGGTGATCAAGTCAGAATTGCTTGGAAGTGAAGAACAAAGGACCTACCATTGTCCACAACGCGGATTGATGTCCTTCCTCTTGGGGCCTCATCCAACATGGGTTTTGAATGTATATCTACATATATATATATATATATACATATATATATATATACACACATGCTTTCCTGATTCCCAATGTTCAGATTTGCGTTGGATCTCCGCGCAAGCCGGGCCCGGAACCCGAGGCCATGATGCTTTCTGGCATCACCGGCATGGCATTGATGCTGCGGTGCAGGGCTCAGCGGTTCCTCACGCAGGAACCCCCAAATGCGGGCTACGCTCAAGTGAACCCATCCAAAACCCAAAGCACGACTTAAATAGCAACCCCAAGGACCTCCCAAAACATCCCCTTGGAAGACTTTTCTTCCAGATTGTTTGAGACTCAGGCGGCGGAGGAGCTCCCGCAGCACTGCGTAAACTTGGAGCAGGCGCCCCACGGGCGAGTGCTGCAGTTGGTTCAACGCCGGGCAATTCGATTCGTCTTAAATTTGGAGCCCAAAAATGGGCGGTTTCACTTTGCCTTTCCTCTAAAGCCATCAACAGCCACCCAAGAAGGGCACCCTCGAAAAGAAGACACCGAGTTGGCTTGCTGGTCCTTGGCAATATTGACTCAGGATCTTCGTAGAACATCCTACGGTGGAGTTGAGAAATCTGAGGTTTTTTCGAGACCCATGGGGGTCTTGGCTTTGTCTTGTACTGCTTGAATAGAAGTAGCCAAATAAGAGGTCTAAAACCCATGTGAAACCTGTGAAAGTGTGATTTGGCTGCGTTGGCGGCCAAGACGCAAGTTGGTGGCCAACTTGCAACGAAGCAAGGCGCTCCCCTCAAACTGTCCCATTCGCAAGTCGCACCCAACTCGTCACCTCAGAGCATCATTTTTGGGGCGTCTAGACTCTGGAAAATTTACTTGCGGGCCAAGCGCGAGTCGCGTTTCTTGTGTTGTAAGATTCCTCAACACACTGAACAACCGTGTACTTTTGCACGTAGCACCCCAGGTGAAGGTATCGGTACAGGTACAGTCCTTGCGGTACACAAACTGGATATATAGGTCCGTCACCTACCCCTCCACACACCCGTGGTATGAGCGGCAAAATCGAGTAGGTCAGTCCCTTTTCAGGTACAGCAAGGCTTTTCACATGTTGTTGTTTGTTTTTGTTAGTAGGAGTTTGTGTTGTGCACGACCCTCTACTTAAATTCTCCAGAAGTACCAATTGGGGCCGACCATATGGTCGGCGCTGAGCCGCTAGGCAGCTGCCTGGGGCTACAAGCCGGGAGACCGGGTGCAGCGGGACAGGCGTGTGTCCTTCACCATGCGGCGCCTTGGTGGGGACGGCTGGTTTTCGGTGGGTTTTTCACCCAGAAAAGATCTGCTGGTAAGAGACCAAACAAGGGGATGCGTCATGTGTTTTTGTCCTGGCCCCTTGTTGAGCATCCAGCTTAGACCCTTAGATCGTCGGAAAGTGTAGCCCCGTTGAGTCATAGTTGAGTAAACGAAGGATAGTACGGAACATCCCAACCAGAAATTCGTGCGGCTGCAATTTTGATTGTCTGCAGCCATGTTTTGATCGTGACCTGTGCGAAGGGATGCTCATACCCTTGAAGATGGAATACATCCGTTGCCAAATCTTTGGACCTCATTTCAGGGAATGGCGAGTTTGAGGGAGGCAACAAAACACATCAGCTAGGTCCTCCAGTTGAGAAGTTAGAATAAGGGTACCCTGTTTTCTGTAGTCTATTTTAGAAGGGGAACCGTCCCGCAAAAAAAAGGGTAAAAGGGGGGACCTCGTCAGGACTCACAAAAACCGCGGGGTTTGTCTGATGGAAACAAGCCAATGATTCGGGACCCACGACGCTTCGGGAAAGCACATCAGGAAACAAATGGAATTCCATTTCCGGGCTTCCTTTGTTGTGGCAAGGCTAGGAAATGGAGCTGAGGGTGCTTCGTCAAAGGGAACACTTCTCCTTGGATGGAGGGTACGTATTCCCTCTTCAAGCCTTTTGTCCCAGAGCCGAGGGGCGTATTCTATCTTATGAGTGGTTCATGTCGAGTGCGCTTGGCGGGTGGAAAAGGGATCAAGACAATGCACTTGAAAGAAGCAAGGGACAGAGCTGCCCTTTTCGCGGGCTGCTGGGCTCCTTTGTGTAACATCTGGGCGGGGGGAATTTCAATCCTGGACCCTGCGGAATGTGCATAGGGCTATTTCTTTGCATGCCCGTACAAAATCCAGACCTGGGAGAAATGCCCGGTTGGGTTGGCATCCTACTCTTTCCTGGAAACCTAACAAGACTGATTCTGCGTATTTCTGCTATTTGTGGTCTTGCACTTCTCCTTGTTCTTTCTTGATTCTGTTGGTGCACTTGTGGACATACCTCATGGTTTTGCTAGTAGTTGGACAGCCAAGTAAGGCAGTTGCCTTCTGATCCTTAATGCAAGGGCATCCGAAAACTCGGCTTTCTTTGTCACTCATCGCATGTGTGTTACCCATAGTAATAAAATGATACTATAACTCCATTCACACGTTGTATTTTCCTGAACAAGCAGCTGTTGTCCACACATACTCGAGGTTTGATTCCTTTGCCCGAACACAGAGGTTGTCAATGTTGCACAAGAGGTTTTCAGCATCAGTTGGAAGCAGCATGTTAGATAAACACAATCCCACGACACATATTGACACTACATGTTAGACTTAAGAATGAGATTGGTGTGCATCAGATTTGTGTTTTGTTCACGTGATAGTTGCTTTGCCACAAGTGGCACTACGCTGCCACTTGGCTCAAGAATTCCATCTCCCATCAGATAACTTTCGGGGGAACGCGCAGGCGCCATAGTGCGTCAGAAGGCCACGCTGCTGAGTGAAAGGGCTTGGCGCCGCTTCTTTCCGGTACTAGAAGGTACCTGGTTCCCCGTCGAGGTTCACCTGGGCCTGATTGGGTTCTTAACTGTCACGTCCTTCAACCTGGTCATCAACCACAGCTCCCCGAGTTGTGTCGCCGGGTTCTTTGGGTACATTGTGGGCACCTTGCACTCATTTGATTCCCTGGGCTATATCTTCTGCGCCCAAAGCCGCAAGTTATCAGCCGTAGCAGCATAAAGCTGCGGCTGGTGGCCCGGTCGCGTCGTGACCCGCTAGTAGGGTTCAGCGCCTCCGCTTCTGACTTCCTCGGGAGCACCCGTACATGGGCGTGCACCGACTGCGGGCCCGCCGGCATACCTCGAGGGTAAAAGCGCACCACCATCTTCCACGACGTCAGCTCCAGGGGCAAGGGCAAAAAGCGCACGATCAGGGGCGCGGACAGAAGTCTGCGAACCCTTGTCTTATTGTCTCAAGAGACGGTCTTGAAAGGTTTTTGCCACCCGGCTGCACGACCTTGGCTGGTGGGACGACAGGAAGAAGGTCATGCGCGTCAGGTCCAACACTCCTGAGATTGTGCACAACCTCCTTGAGAAGCTCGAAATGGTTTGCAAGGCTCCGTGACGCACACATGGCTGCGCGACGAGGGATCAAGGAACATAACAAAAAAACACACAGTATTTAAAGTCCGGATCCCGCGTTCTCAGATGTTTACTGCGATCACCGACGACTTCATCTACTGGGGCGACCAGACAGCCTCGAGCTTCACCTGCCACGCCAACAAGTACCGACAAGTACCGATCCGCGCGCGCACTTGCGCGCCGCAGTGGAAGTTGCGTGGTCACTGCGTCGCGTGGGAGTTCACACGAAGGAAGTCGCGAAGGTCCTGGGCATGGCTTTTCAGAAGACCACTGTGTAGGATGACTTTCTTCAGTGCCCTACCTATTTAGGTTCAAGGCTTTGATGGTTAGTCTTCTATTTACAGTGGGAAGACCACAAACATTGCTTCACGGGCTTTTCCACGACTACCTCCCACTCCTAAGTTTCAACTTCCAACTTCTTATTTGTGTGTTTAGAAAAGTTGGCCCGGGACGCAGTACTGAGAGAGTTGCGAAGTTCAATATTCTCGCTCCAAATCGTCGACTGAGGCACCTGCTTCCGCGGTGCGCGTGCCAGGGCTGAGGTTGAGCTCTGGGGTGCAGCGAAGGTGGTTCCGTCAAAGCTCGGAAGGTAGGGCGAGCTGTGTTGAGTTTATTCCACCAAAAATTCCATGCGCGTTTCGGGGTGTCCGCAGGATGGTCGCTTCGCATAGCCGATGCTCTTGCAGTTTTGAGCCGACGAGTGCTTTCTCGGAGGAACACACAAAGAATCTTGCTTTCTGGCTTCCAGTCAGAAAATATAGTTTGCAGATCACGATGTGCTGACCAAGATGACACTCGAATGGCTGGCCAACCCGGGCACGAACCAATGGCGGCACAATTATTGACGTGCTTCAAATAATTTTTGAATGTTACGTGCAATTATTTATTATGTCAAATTATGATAATATGTGAACTAGAATATGGACGAATATTATATTGTCTTATTTTATTTTAATTTAATAGTTTGTTGATTTATATATATATATGGATTTGTCTTTTTTTGGTATGTTGAATTGTTTTAAAAGGTAGAAATGTGTTTTTTGAATTATATTCCGAATTATATTTTTAATGTATATGTTATAAGATATTATTATGGTTTTATTATTTTAAATTATATTAATTTTGATTTTAAATAGTAAAAAAACATGATAAATTTGTATAACCCAAAAAAAGGTTTGTATTTTTTTATATAAGATACGAATTTGAGTAGCTTATATGAGTAAAATATAATTATAATTAGTTTATGTATATGTTTTTAGAAAAAAAATGGGAAGAGATTATATTGGATTTATTTATTTTTTTGATGCTGGGTAAAAATATTAATGTTGTTTATCGATTTTGGGGAGAATATTTTATGTTAATGTTATGTTTGAGAATGAAGATTCCGGGAATTCGGGATGAATTAACTTAACACTTTTTATAATATATTTAATTATGTATTTTTCCATTACCATAGTATTTGGTTGTTGTCTCGTTACTCTGCTGAAACTTGCGTATTAGTTTTAGCAGCTTGATGGCCGAAACTGGACACATGTTATTTCTGGTTGCTATCTTCTTCTCGAGCTCGGCTAAGGGTCTCGCTATAAGCAAAGCAAGAGAGCATAAACGAGTAGATTGCGCCTTGTAGCGTTACGGCCGGGATATTCTCGTCTAGCAACGTACATACGCCGCGCCCAAATTGGCAAGCGTTAACAAAGGTGCCCGCTTGGCACGCACTTCTGTTACCCGGCAAAGCTGCAGAAAATCCTCAGTGTTTGAGTTGGCAGTATTTGGACATCCAGGGCCTTCATCTCTTTCGTGTCTAACGCGCCGCATGTTCCCAAGATGGCCAACGCATGGCTTTGCTCTATGCGCCTAACACCGTTCCATTCTGGAACAAGCTTGGTTTTGAACGTCAGCTCCAGTCCTGCTCCATCTCGGAAACGTGTAAGAACTTTGCTCTAACTTATCAATGCTGGCTGCACAATGGATACCACCAGCTTGGCCGGGTTCATCTTGGAGTTGGTGTTTATGGCTCGCAGATTGGTGTTCACATGTATGGTGAACGACCGGCGGCCGTCATTCCAACGCACGCCGTTGATAACAACTTCTGGGCCTTGCGTTCACTCAGCTCTAGCAGCATTGTAATTAATTGGCCGGTTCGTGAAGTTTTTCCAAGTTGTCAGGACCTCCTATGCATTAACAAAGTTTTTCGAGGAGAATTCGATAGGTGTAGGGACGATGCAAGAATTTTTTACGAGTTAATGGTTTGATTGGGGGCCCGATGTACCCAGGTTATACTTCTAGGACAATTCTTTCTAGAAACCAGTTAGAAAATACCTTGGAGCGGACCCCCCCTCCTAACAATGCAACAAGATGATAAGCACTATGTGTTGGCTCGTCGTTTTTTGCGATAGTAGCAGATCTCTAAGAGCAAATAATGGCTCTTGTTGATGGGACCTTAAAAAGAAAGTATCAAACACAGCGGCGGTGTTAGAATTTTTTATTAGATTATAAAGCCATCAAACATGTCGACACATGGCCATGACCGTGTCTCTTTATTGTAATTAGCACATTAAACACCAGAGCCACCATTCCATAATGTTGTTGGGGAGTTCGCCACGCTCGGAATTAATATTCAAGACGTAGTGGAGGCGAAGTTATGTCGTTAAAGAAGAAATGAATGGGCCATGTTTGTAGCATGTGTTGGTCTTATGCTATTAGCATATCTTTCCAGCTTGGTTTCCCGACAAGCCACGTATATTGCGAGCAAGTAAATTAGAATCTCGCCCGGAGCTGCCAAATTCAAGTCGAGGTCTCGGAAAAGAACGTTGATTACGAGAATGAAATGGAATTGTTTGGATTTCCAAAAATACTTATTGCGGGAGGCTAGCACAAGTGCTATACAATGTCTAGAGATTGTAGGAAAGTTAGCTCCTCAGAGAATGATACCTTACGACGTCCTAACATGAAAACCCTTGAGCCCTCGCATTTGCAAGCCCTGGCATTTTCAGACACGTGCAAAACAGAAGCGTCTATATTGCGGAATATGTGGAAATAAGGCTGAGAAATCTGTCTTTAATCCTTCTGTTAGGAGGCAACGAGATATGTTAAAGCTGCGACCTTGCTAGGTGTGAAATGCTTCAACAAAATGCATTTCGTTTGTTAGTGGGATTGGATTGCATAGATGAGGAAAAAATATCGTAGTAAATATATCTATTTCGTTTTCGAGAAATAAATACATTGCTTAGGATTCTGAGCTGTTTTTTGGAAACGCCGCACTTGTTGGTTAGGTGCAGGTTTGCGTTCTGGCGCATCAGTAGAGCCCTGCCGAGCCTTAAATATATACTATTGTTTTTAATAAGCAAATATCGTGATATCCGTTTGATTGCTTTGCTTAGGATTTAAATTGCTGAAAGAATTTACTTAGATAATTTGTACTAAGAACTAGAACTTGATCAAAGGAACTCGTGCCAACAACTTACTTAGAGGAACTTACGTAGAGAACTTGCTAGGATTATTTGGCGCCGCGCGTTGCTTATGCTTTCGGGCCACCCATCTTCTAGTTTCCTCTTGGTAGCATCGTTGTAGTTCGAGCACCCTTTCTTGTTGGAAGTCTCGATAGGTCTCTGCTGATGCGCTAGAAACCTGCACTTGACTAAGAAGTGCGACGCTGGCTTCCAAAAAGCAGTTTAGAAGCCTGAGCAAAGCAATTAGGCAGATGTCACGGTATATTTGTTTATCGAAAATAATATATAGATTTAAGGCTCGATAGCTCTATTGATGCGCCACAAAGATGCAAACCTGCGCTTGGCTAAGAAGTGCTTGCAAAAAGCAGCGTAGAATCTTGGGCAAAACAATCAGGTAGATGTTACGGTATTTATTTATCGAAAATAAAAAAAAGCATATTTAAAGGTTTGATATATTTTTGCTCATAAGGATGCAGGCACGACCCGAAGCCAGCGTCACAGCATTTGGCATCTGACCGCGGAGATTAGGAGCTATAAGGAGAGACAGGGAGACAAACGAGAGACGTATCACAGCATCTGGCATCTGGCCGCAGAGATCGGGAGACAGGAAGCACGACCCGAAGCTAGCGTTATAGCATTACGGAGACCGGGAAACACAGGCCAACAAGGGGGAGATACGACCCGGTAACTAGCGTCATAATATTTGGCATCTAACTATAGAGATTTTGAGAGACATAAGGACCCCGCCTTTGAACGAGAAATGGGAAGACAAGCGGCAGACACGATATCTGATCGTAGAGATTGGGAAATACAGGGAACTAAGCGGGAGACACGACATCTAGTATCTGACCGCAGAGGTTAGGCAACACAGAGGAGACAAGCGGGAGACACGACCCGTTATAGCATCTGGCATCTAACCGCAGAGACTTTGCGCAACACAAGGAGATAGGAGATACGATTCCGTAGCCAGCGTCACAGCATTTGGCTTTTGAATGGAGACATTCGGAGATAGGGAGATAAGCGGGAGACACTGCCCCGCCTTTGCCGCCTTTGAATAAGACATAAGGAGATAAACGGGGAGACACAATATCTAACCATAGAGATTAGGAGATATAAGGAAACAAGCGGGAGACACGACTCGTCACAGCATCTAACATCTGATTATAGACACTGTGGACAATATAGGAGATAGGAGATACAATTCTGTAGCTAGCGTCGTAGCATCTGGCCTTTGAATGGAGAAATTCGGAGATAGGGAGATAAGTGGGAGATACGATCCCTAAGCCGACATTATAGCATTTGGTATCTGACTATAGAGATTGGGAAACATAACGTTATCTCGGAGCTAGCGTCATAGTATCTGGCATCTGACCATAGAGATTAGGAGATACAGGGAGATAAGCGGGAGACACGACCCGTCATAGCATTTGGCATCTAACCGCAGACACTGTGGATAATATAGGGAGATAGGAGATACGATTTTATAGCTAGCGTCGTAGCATCTGGCCTTTGAATGGAGAAACTCGGAGATAGGGAGATAAGTGGGAGATACGATCCTTAAGCCGACATTATAGCATTTGGTATTTGACTATAGAGATTGGGAAACATAACGTTATCTCGGAGCTAACGTCATAGTATCTGGCATCTGACCATAGAGATTAGGAGATACAGGGAGACAAGCGGGAGACACGACCCGTTATAGCATTTGGCATCTAACCATAGAGACTTTGGGAGACGTACCATGGTATTTGGCATTTGGCATTTGATCGCAGAGATAGGGAGATGAATGGGAGACACCATTTCGGAGCCGGCGTAATAGTATTTGGCATTTGACTGCGGGAGACACGACCTTGGAGTCGATATTATAGCATCTGGTATTTAATCGGAAAGATTGGGAGATAGGAAGATAAGCAGAAAATAAGATCCCGGAATCGACGTTATATTTTCTTATTTTGTATGTTTTAAATTAGAATATTAATGTTTTGTTATTTGAAAAATTATATATTATTTTTTATTAAACAAATAAATAAAAATTTTTTATTAATATTAGTTTAATATTATTATTATTATATAAATTATTATTGTTATTTCT